TAATTTTTTTTTTTTTTTATTTATTTATTAAATCTAACAGTTAGAACCAATAAATAATAAATTTACAAATGAAGTAAAATGAATTATTTCGGTAAAAAATATATAAATTATTCATTTTTTATTTTCTGATTTTAAAAACCATATCTATTAATTTTTTTTTAATAAAACAGATAAACATTTAAAATTTATAAACATTTTCAAATTACTAAAAATTCTATCCGCAAAAATAAAGTTAAATTTTTATGACACGTTTAAAATATTATTTGTATACCTACTATTTTAAAAAAATTATTATTACATTTAAAAAAAAATTATTTTTATAATATTTTTGAAAAATTATTTTTTTTTATTTTATTAATTTAATTACATTTAAATCGAATCTCAAAAAAAGTTGCAAATTAAATAATCAAATGGAATGTTAAAAAAAAATAAATAAATAAAAAAAATTCTCTTAAAAAACTATTTCTTCTCTTATAATAAAAAAATTCTTTTTCCATTTAAAAAGTAAAATTTCTAAGAAGAATTAATAATTAAAATTGTTTACAGCTTTCATTTTGAATGCAATTAATTCATTGAATATACAAAAGAGGAAGTAAACTAATTATACAAAATAAAAATACTTTTTTCTTTTACTTCAAAAATTTAATACTCTTTATGCATTTTATACATGATTAAGTACAATTATAATAATATTAATAAAATAATATTAATTTCATTAGCGACAATTAATATAATTACAATTAGTAATATTTTAAATAATTTATAATTTGTAAATTATAAATTATAAATTATAAATTATAAATTATAAATTATAAATTATAAATTATAAATTATAAATTATAAATTATAAATTATAAATTATAAATTATAAATTATAAATTATAAATTATAAATTATAAATTATAAATATAATTATAAATTATAAATTATAAATTATAAATTATAAATTATAAATTATAAATTAAATTATAAATTATATTAAATTATAAATTATAATTATAAATTATAAATTATAAATTATAAATTACAAATTATAAATTTTAAATTATAAATATAATAATAAAATTACAATTTTGTTTTCAATTTTTTTTTATAAAGTAAATAAAGTCTTTCGTTGGAAAAATTCTTACAACAATTTTTGAATTATTACATAAATCCATTATAATCAATATATACAGGTTTATAAATTTGTTTTTTTTTTATTTTCACTAATTTAATTACATAAATTGAATCTCGAAAAAAAAGTTGCAATTCAAATAAACTGTCCAAATGGAATGTTTAAAAAATGCACATAAATACAATATAGTATCACGCCCCATTTAACTGACTTTGAAAAATTCATCAGATTGAAAAAAATGCTCGTAAAAATAGTGATAGCCCTTACGAGTGTTGCAAGTAAACATATATATATATATATATATATATAGTTGAAATCGAGTTCATCCCCCCCCCTCTCCCCCCGTAGATAAATATCTCTCTCTCTCTCGCAATTTTAAAGACTGCATTCGAATTTTAAATTTGAACTGCATTACGTCTCAAGTATAAACATTATTTTTTTTTATTTTAAATTTTATATAGAAAAAAAGATTTTTTCTTTTAAAATATTTATAAAGCAACAGTCGCAATAATCGTGATGATGACAATTTGTAAAATTTATTATTAAAATTCAATTATCCAAAACAATTTTTCCAAAAGAAAAAAACAATTAAAATTGAATATTTACTGACTTGTATATTAATTTTTTACTATAAAAAATAAGTTTTTTAATAAAGAAATAATAAGTAAAAACAGTAAAAAAAATATCGCTATTTATTTGAACGTTCAACACTTAGGAAAATCAAATATTAGAATTAAATGTTAAAATTTTCTCTTTTTAAAAAAGAAAGTTGAAAAATTAGATTATAATACTGAAAATATTAATTATCGATTAGGCTACATTTTTTAATGAACAAATAATTCTTTAGGCTTGCTTATAGAAATCGAAAGATTCGAAACTGTTTGGTCAACGATTTTTTAAATATTCTGTAATTTTTTAGTACTTAGGATGCTAAATAATTGTACTAAATAGGTTACGACTCAAAAAAAAGTTTTTTTTTATTTAAAAAGATCGGTTATTTAATTCAGTGTTGTCAAAAAAATTTTATTTTGTATTTCCTTGACTTTCCACTGATTTCTAAATTCAATTATTCAAAACCTGAATAATTTTGTTAAATTAAAATTTACAACTCTTATATAATCCTTCCAAAATTCAATTATTTTCTACAATTATTTTGAATTAAAGCTTCACATCTAAATCAATTTTTTTTTAAATTTTCCGAAAGTTCTTCAGGAATTTAATTATTTAAATACATAAATTCAATTTTATTTTACAATCTTCATTAGTAGATGAACTTCAAAGATTTCAATTTAAAATTTTAGAAAACATCAATTTTTAATGAATTTAAATAGAAATTTTAAGAACAACTGATTACAGAAATTCAATTATTTTCAAAAGTGATGAACTTCTTCGCATAAATTGAATTATGTTCAAAACTTAAAAAAAAAATTCTCGTTAAAATTTCAATTATCTTTATAAATAATAAAATTATTCCCTTCTTAAGAATTCAATTATTTTCACAAATAATACATTTTTTTTATGGGAATTCAATTATTTTAAAAAATTTGAAAAAAAATTCTTTACAAGAAATCAATTATTTTCATAAATACTAATATTTTTCTGCAGAATTCAATTATTTTCACATATAAAATTCTTCACAGGAATTCAATTCTTCAAAAAAAATTTTAATAATATTCGTTGCAAGAATTCAATTATTCTTATAAATATTAAAACTTATCGCAGAATTTAAATTATTTTTTGTACAATTTTAAATAAAATGATAGAAAGTTGCATTTATTCTTAAAATTTTTTTTATATTCGCCGAAAGAATTCAATTATTTTAAAAAATTTTTGTTAAAATTCTTCATAAAAATTCAATTTTAAGAAATATTCAATTATTTATTTTTGTATTTAAATAATTGGATTTTTGGAAAATTTTCTAATAAAAATTGATGAAAAAATGAATTTCACTTCATATTTTAAATTATAATTGAATATTGAAAGCATTATAGCGTGAATTTTTAGAAATAATTGAATTTTGAAAAGGGTGAAAATATTTTTAAAAATAATTGAAATTTGGTAAAATCTTTGAAAAATAATTGAATTTGATAAAATTTTTTTTAAAATAATTGAAATTTGGTAAAATCTTATAAAAATAATTGAAATTTGATAAAAGTATTTGAAAAATAATTGAAATTTGATAAAAATCTTTGAAAAATAATTGAAATTTGATCAAAATCTTTGAAAAATAATTGAAATTTTGGTAAAATCCTTTAAAAGTAATTGAAATTTCATAAATCTTTGAAAAATAATTAAAATTTGATAAAAATATTTATAAATAATTGAAATTTGGTAAAAAATTTTTTTCGAAATTGAAATTTGGTAAAATCTTTGAAAAATAATTGAATTTGATAAAAAATTTTTAAAAATAATTGAAATTTGGTAAAATTTTTGAAACATAATTGAAATTTGATAAAAGTATTTGAAAAATAATTGAAATTTTATAAAAATCTTTGAAAAATAATTGAAATTTGATAAATCTTTGAAAAATAATTGAAATTTGATAAATCTTTGAAAAATAATTTAATTTTTTGGTAAAATCCTTTAAAAGTAATTGAAATTTCATAAATTTTTGAAAAATAATTAAAATTTGATAAAAATATTTATAAATAATTGAAATTTGATAAAAGTATTTGAAAAATAATTGAAATTTAGTAAAATCCTTTAAAAGTAATTAAAAATTTGATAAATCTTTGAAAAATAATTGAATTTTTGGTAAAATCCTTTAAAAGTAATTAAAATTTCATAAATCTTTGAAAAATAATTAAAATTTGATAAAAATATTTATAAATAATTGAAATTTGGTAAAAAATTTTTTAAAAATTGAAATTTGGTAAAATCTTTGAAAAATAATTGAATTTGATAAAAATTTTTTAAAAATAATTGATATTTGGTAAAATTTTTGAAACATAATTGAAATTTGATAAAAGTATTTGAAAAATAATTGAAATTTTATAAAAATCTTTGAAAAATAATTGAAATTTGATCAAAATCTTTGAAAAACAATTGAAATTTGGTAAAATCCTTTAAAAGTAATTGAAATTTGATAAATCTTTAAAAAATAATTAAAATTTGATAAAAATATTTATAAATAATTGAAATTTGCATCTTAAGCACGTTTTCTCCGTTGTATAAATGAATATATTTTATCTTTGCGTGAATGTTGAGTACATCCGTCACTTTTTTTTATATTAATCTCTTCTTATATTATTTTGTATGTTTATTTCAATTACACCAGTATAATTTTGTATATTTTAGTTACATATATAGTTACCCATTTATGGTTCATATGGACAGCGGGGATTGTATTATAAATAAATAAATAAATAAATTTGGTAAAATTTTTGCAAAATAATTGAAATTTGATAAAATCTTGGAAAAATAATTGAAATTTGATAAAATTTTTAAAAAATAATTGAAATTTTATAAAACTCTTTGAAACATGATTGAATTTTGATAAAATCTTTGAAAAATAATTGAAATTTGGTAAAATCCTTTAAAAGTAATTGAAATTTGATGAATCTTTGAAAAATAATTGAAATTTGATAAAATCTTTAAAAATTAATTGAAATTTGATAAAATCTTTGAAAAATAATTAAAGTTTATAAAATTTTTGAAAAATAATTGAATTTTGATAGAAATCTTTGAAAAATAATTGAAATTTGATCAAAATCTTTAAAAAATAATTGAAATTTGATAATTCGTAAATAAATGTAATACAACTTTTTTTTTTGAAAATCTAATAATTTTTGGAGTGAATCAGAATATTCAGGATCAAGGAAAAAGTCAAATTTTTTTCTTGAAATCAGGGAAAAAGAAAATTAAATTTTTCTCGCAACCCTGAATTTGTAAATAGTAAAAATTATATTTTCTTTTAGAAAATTTCGTTTCATAACAATTTCGTTTAAATATTTAATAATTAATAAATAACAAAGAAAGAAGTTAACAAAAGTGTTAAGAATCTTTGAGTAATTAAAAAAATTACAAATTGAATTAGACATAGTTATGGTAAAGTCTTTAACGTCCGAATGGTTTTAATAATAAGACATATAGTTTGATTATATTCTTTTTCTTCTATTGTTTGTGGCTTTTTAGTTTGATTATTATGATTATTGGTTTCGAGTTCAAGAGAAGGAAAATTTAGTCTCTTGAACTAGGATTTGACTGTATTTTTTAGCATTCCAAGTACTATAAAAACCTGTACAAGATGTAGAAAAAATTCCTCATTTGTTCCCACTTTCAAGAAACTGAATGTTGAAAATTATTGGGAATAAAACTCCACAGCCTTGTTTTTGGGGGTGGAAAAAAACTACAATTGAAATTTTAATTAGTTCGCAGTTGATAGTCACCATTTTGTGTAATGTACCGAACCCAGGGTAGAGCTTGATAGCCACTTTTTTCGATAATTTTCAAATATCTCACTTGTATTCCCGAAGTGGTGAAATAAGGTATTTCAAATTTCACCTGAATGGGCGGTTTGCCCTCGACATCCTCGCTAACAACCGATGGCAATCCAAAGTGTGCCCTCATCAAATACTCTTTCCCACCGGGGAATGACTTAATGGACCATGTGATGGCGCTCTGCTCAGGCGAGTACTTGACACTGCCAATGGTCGTCTTGAATTTCGGTGAGTCCGCATCGTTTGGCACTGGAATCACAATTTCCACATTGTTCGCCGTTGATCTTCGCTTGAATTGCGATCTCGCTTTGATCATATACTCAACTCTACTGTGAGCGTGACGCTCAATCACTGACTCAATCCAAATCAATGGCTTCACATGAGTATTTAAACGATAGGACATGAGTTCAAATTCCCCATCGGGCGGAATAAACGATATTGTCCGATCATTCTCAAATCTCGACAATCGAACGCACTGATGAAATTTCACGTCCTCAAGTTCAACGGACTTTGATTTTCCCCTACCCGTCGATTCAAAGAGAACTTTGTCATTCAGTCCAAGTCTCAGCTCGGGCATTCCCGAAAGATAAACTCTCATTTTTATCGCACCGACAATTTCCGAACTTAGAACATTGCCATTTGCATTGGCGAGAAGATTTACCGATTCGATGACGTCGAGGAAAACTTCGTTTTTGCGGTACTTGATGCCCTCGGAACGCCATGAGACGGCATTAGTGACGGCCATGGGAATTCGTGGTTGAATCTCAAGTTTGTGACCCTCCTGAGTGATGTACTCCTGAAGAATCTTGCTGTCGGTTGTCTGCGGATAACCAAAGTCAAGGAGCTCATCGAGAAGTTCGTAGATAACGACAAAGTTGTCCCTAATACTCTCCTCTTCGAGTTCCTTGAAATATTCGCTCATTACCTGCACGACTTTGTGCAGGAAGACAAAGATAAGTGAAATGTTTGCGTTCTTCCTGGTTGTTGACACTAAATAGAGATTATTGTATTTTATGTAAGAGTAAGTACATTCGGGTGTTTGGATTATCGGCGTTAAATTTCCTTCCTCCTCACGCTCCATCACCAGGGGCATGAACTTATCAATAAGACCCGTTTCAATGTCGCCACGATAATTTCTCGATATCAGGACCTTGCCCTTAACGTCGAGAATGTAAATCGCCGAGGTCGACATCTCGACCCTTTTTTTTTCTTTGATGATCTTAAACAAAAAATAGGATTAAAATTCTTTTTTCATCCGTTTAAATAAACAAAGAATAGGATTAAAATTCTTTTTTCATCCGTTTAAACTTTTCATCATAAAAAAAAGACTTTCTCTTCTTTTAAGAAGACACTCTTTTCTTAAACATTAACAATTAATTAAAATTAAAATTCTCGTCCGCCATATTGAATCCACCATTTTGAATTTTTTAAAAAATTTCAATTCATCAGCGGCATAAAATTATAAACTCAAAGAATGTGTAAGCAAAAGTAGATATAATACTTTAAAATATAAAAATTATATTCAATGAGATTTATTAATTTATAAATATTTAAAAATTTCCAACAAGTTTAAACTGAAAATATTTAATATTTGCATTTCTTAAAATCATTATTTAAATATTTTGTAACAAAAATAGTTAAATTTTCAATGTTTTTTGAAAAATGCGCCAAACAAATCCTTACAAAATTCAATTATTTTCCACAATTTTTAATTAAACTTCACATCTAATTGAATTATTTTTAATAATTTTCCAAAAGTTCTTCGAGAATTCAATTTTTGAAAAATAATTAAAATTTGATAAAAATCTTTTAAAAATAATTAAAATTTGGAAAATTATTTGAAAACTAATTTGAAATTTGGTAAAATCTTTGAAAAATAATTAAAATTTAATAAAATCTTAGAAAAATAATTGAAATTTGATAAATCTTTGAAAAAAAAATGAAAAGATTTTAATCTTTTAAAAATTTAATTGAAATTTGATAAAATTTTTGAAAAAGAATTGAAATTTCCTAAAAATCTTTTAAATATAATTGAAATTTGATAAAAATCTTTGAAAAGTAATTAAAATTTTGTGAAATCTTTTAAAAATATATTTGAAATTTGTTAAAAATCTTTGAAAAATAATTGAAATTTGATAAAAAATCTTTTAAAAATAATTTAAATTTGGTAAAGTCTTTTAAAAATAATTTAAAGTTGGTAAAATCTTTTAAAAATAATTTAAATTTGATAGAATTTGTGAAAAAAAGATTGAAATTTCATCAAAATCTTTTAAAAATAATTAAAATTTGATAAAAATCTTTAAAAAATAATTAAAATTTGACAAAAATCTTTTAAAAATAATTAAAATTTGGTAAAATCTTCTAAAAATATAATTGAAATTTGAAAAAAATTAAATTTTGATAAAATTTTTGAAAGAAATTGAAATTTTATAAAAATTTTTGAAAAATAATTGAAATTTGATTAAAATCTTAAAAAAAAATAATTAAAATTTGACAAAAATCTTTTAAAAATAATTAAAATTTGGTAAAATCTTTTAAAAATATAATTGAAATTGGAAAAAAATTAAATTTTGATAAAAATCTTTGAATGTAATTGAAATTTGATAAAAATCTTTTAAAAATAATTGAAATTTGGTAAAAACTTTTTAAAATATAATTGAAATTTGATTAAATTTTTGAAAAAGAATTCAATTTTCATAAAACTCTTTAAAAAATAATTGAATTTTAAAAATAAAAATCTTTTAAAAATAATTAAAATTTGGTAAAATCTTTTAAAAATATAATTGAAATTTGAAAAAAAGTACGTTTATAAAAATTTTAGTTTACATTGTTCGAAACTAATTGAATCTTAAAAAATTACGATAAAACAATTCTAAGAATTAGTTTTTTTTTTATAAATATTCTATGTAATGTGTAATTTTTCGAAAATAATTGAATTTTTAAAAAAAAGTTTTATATAATTTAAAAATGAAACTAATTAATTTTTTTTAAGAATTTTAATTAAAAATTTTAAAAATTATTATTTTTTTTGCAAAACGTTTTAAAATAATTAAAAAAAAATATTAATGTTATTTTATTTTAATGTATTTGAATTTTTTAAAATATATAATCCATCATATTGAAAATAATTTAATTTTAAAAATTTTAATGAAAAAAATTCTCAGAATTAATTTTTTTTTCAAAAATATTTTAATATAATTTTTAGAAACTTATTTTCATTTCTATTAAATGATAATTTCGATTAAATCACTTGAATATTTTCCATTAAAATTTTTGCGAATTAAATTATTATCAAAATGTTGCCAATAATAATTGGCAAAGAATTTTAATTATTGAAATTCTTCAAAAGTAAATATTTAACATAATAAAATGATTGAATAAAAATAAGATATTTTCAATTGGCAAGAATTTCAATTATTGAAATTCTTCAAAAGTTGATTTTCAACTTTTATTAATAAAATACTTGAAAAAAACTAATTAAAATTAATTAATTAAATTAATTAAAAAAAAATTATTTTCAATTAAATTTGACAAAATTTCAATTATTCAAAAGCTTTTTAATTGTATATTTCGAAAATTTGAGAGATTATTTTAAATCGACAATTGAATAGTGAACAGAAGTCAAAACCAAAACTAATAGTATGATAATAAATAACAACTTATACTTATATGAAATCTACGTACAGTGGCTATATAATCAAAAGGGATTGCTTCTCTTTAGCATATAACGCACTTTATTTCCATTTTTCACATTAATTAATAAAGATTAAAACGAGAGAAATAAGCGAATAAGGTATCAAGATCAACTGACAAAATAAATTTTCATTAAAAATATTTAAATATTATGGTTCGTAGGCAATGGAGGAAAAATGATGGAGGAAACAGTGAATTTCTTTTTAAAAATACATATCTTTATTTATATTATAAGAAATACAATTTAAACTCTTTAAAAAAATTAGATTAGTTTTAGTAACTTTTGTACTTTTCTCTCTATACAGAAAAATCCATTTGTACAAAAATAAAATACTAAAACAATAATAAAATTGGTTGAATAGATTTTTAAAAAAAATTTTAGACTAAAAAAGTTATTAAAGATTAAACTACTTTTAATTTTTTAAGACAAAAAATAAATATTGATAAATAAATATTCACGAAAAATGTTGTAAAATAAGTAACCATATAATAACTGTTTACAATTATTTTTTATGCTATTTTTTATGATTTTAAAATTATTAGCTCTAAAGGTTGTAAATTGTTCTTTATTTTGTTAATTAAATATTTTGAATTGTGTTTTTATGCAATTTTTTTATAATTTCAAACAAATAAAAATTGCTCTAAATGTTGAAAATTGCTTTTCATCTTCTTAATTAAATATTTAAATTGTTTTTTTATTTTTAATAACTGAAAACAAATATTATTCTCTAAATAACAAAAATTGTTTTTCATCTTGTTAATTAAATATTTAAATTGTTTTTTATGCTATTATTTTTAAAAATTTAAATATTATTCTCTACATGCTAATAATTGTTCTTCATTTTGTTAATTAAATATATGAATTGTTTTTTATGCTATTTTTTATATAAACTTAAAACAAATATTATTCTTTAAATGATAAAAATTTGTTTTCATTTTGTTGATGAAATATTTGAAACATATCTTCACATCAATTTTTGTATAGACGTATTTTTTGTTCCATTTTGAGATTAAAAATTTGTTTTTGAAAATTTAATAAAAAAAAAAAATTAAAAAAATTTAAAAAAAAATTTTTTTTAAATTTATTATTGTTTCGCTGTTGTTATTTCAATTATTATTATTATAATTTCTATTATCATTATTATTGTTTTAATGAAACAAGGTTTACTTATTAATTTTTTATAATTTTATTAATTATTATTAATTTTAGATTTATGTTATAATTTTTTAAATATACTTTTCTTTGTAAATGTTCAACATTTTTTTTAAAATCTTAAAGTTTTTACAATATTTCTTCAAATTCTTCAAATATCGAAAATGGTATTAAAAAAAAAAAAAAAAAAAAAAAAAATTAAAATGATTTTAATAACTATTATATTCTTTAATTATATTTAAAACTTTTAAAATAGAAAAAGACTAGACTTCAAACTAAATTGAAAAATCGAATTATTACTTTTCACTTTCTCTTTTTTCAATTCTTATAAACCGATAAAAACATCGATTGTTGACACATTTGACACGTCACATTTGTAGGTTATGATGGGCGGTTAATCACAAAATTTTTTTAACACACATTTTCCACGAAAACGACAATAAATTCTAAAGTGACAATTATATGTTTTTTCCAAGAATTTCAACAATTTTATAAAATACTTGAAAAAAAGTTAAATTTATATAGAAAAAATTGTATGCGTATATTATATAAGAAAAAAAAGTAAACATAAAATATTTATATGAAATTTTATTTAATTTTTTTTTTTGCTTCATTATTTGAAGGTTTTTGTAATATTCACGAAAGTTGGCAATTAAAATGGAATGAAATCAAAGCTTGATGGATTGAAATTATTAATATTTACAAAACACTCACCTAAATTTTTTTTTTTAATAAATATATGCACTATATCAGTCTTTATACTATCGGCAAGAACTGCCAAAGTGGCTAAGAGTGGAATGTTCACTGTTGAGAAGTTGGGGAATATTGATGAAAGCGAATGCGCATGAGTGAGATATCGATTCGTAGAAACATTTCCGCGCCATCTTTCAATTTAAAAATACTTCAACAAAAAAATTTTTCTTTCCTGAATTTTTTGTTATAAACACACTGTTTTTTTTATTTAATTTTTATGTAACAATAAAAACATCATTAATAATTATAATTATTTAAATAGAAATAATTTATTTGAATCTGAAATATAAAAAACATTAAAAAAAAATACTGGAAATATAATAATAATTTTAATAGTTATTATTGTTTTTAGAATTATTAATAATATTAATAATAATTTTTTTTAGTCGGAAGTTATGTTCCATAAAAAATCATGAATTTGTTTGAAATTTAAATTTAAACCGCCATATTGGATCCGCCATTTTGTATTTTTAAAATGTGACATCAGATTCGTAATCAGCGTTTTCGAAAACCCCCAGGTACGAAGTAGCAAAAGAAACTAACAATTTTTTAAAATTTTGACCGCCATATTGGATCCGCCATTTTGTATTTTGAAAATCTGACATCCGATTCGTAATCATCGACCCAAAAATCTTTAATAAGTTCCATAAAAAATCATGAATTTGTTTAAACTTTAAATTTTGACCGCCATATTGGATCCGCCATTTTGTATTTTTAAAATCTGACATAAGATTCGTAATCAGCGTTTCCGAAAACCCCCAGATACGAAGTAGAAATTATAACAAAAGGGTTTTCAAATTAATTGAGAAAAAGAGGAATTACTTTTTTTGTTTATCAAAAATTCAAAGAATCGGAGTCATGTATTTTTAATTACAGGAAAAAATCAATTTCCCTGAATTCGTAATTCAGAGAAAAAAAAATTCATAAGAAAAGAGCCAATGATGCTCTTGTTTTGAGATGCTCTTTAATAATAGAAATGTAATAAAACGGAAATTATTAAAGAAATAAGTAACAGTTCATATATGAATATTTTACTATCTCTGATGGAAGAATAAGGTAGTCATAGTACACCTAATTAGAAACTTTTGTTTTATTGTCTCACTCCAAGCAGAAGAGAGTGAGAGAGAGTTTGTGACTAAGTAAAATTTAATTCGGAGCTCAATATTCGACAATGCCATTTTCTCTCTAAGAGACGTGCTAACTTCTAATCTCATCCCCCTCACGCTCACTTTGTTAGAGCGAGTCGTATTATTGGGGGCACAATATACCTGGGACACCAGAGTATTATCCCGGATTGACGTTCTATCAGCGAAAGCTCAAGACCCGAAGGATTGTTCCGATCGTTGCTCTTAGACTGAAGTTGTGCATTATGTGCATAGATATATTCGTCGTCGATCCGCTTCGTGTCGATATTCCTTTGACGTAACTTCCTAGCCATGCCAAGGTATTTGTTTAATTACGGTCTTCAAATTTACCCGAGGCGTCATCTTTATCCACACACACATATTGTGCACGTGTTGTCTAATCTGATATTAGCTTTACGTATTATTTCAAACATTCTGGAAATTAGGAATCAAATCTCTCCGGAAGAAATTATTCTTTGCAATTAGTTATTAGTTTTGCTTCCTATTTTTGATTACCGTCTTGTAATTGTTGGAATTACCAAAAGAAATAATTTCAGTGGCTTAATTCCCGGTTGAAATTCCAGACTAATGCTTCTCCAGAATTAGACTTTATGGAAGACATCAGTGGCTAAATAATAGTTACTTAATGGAGTTAGTGTCACGTGCCGTTGAAACTTTCATTTTATGCCCTGGATCTAATTAATTGTGCCCTAACTTTCTTGACATTAAATTTCTCTATTACTTGTGAAAATTTGTCAAATTAGCGTCATCAGTTTGGTATTAGTCTTTGTTTTTTGCAATTACAACCATTCGTCGATTTTGGAATTTGATTTATTTTCGCACATGACCGGATGGAGCAATCAACTAAGGATGTTCCACTTTCCGCGGTATTAAATTAGATCTAGAGAATATTTGGTAGGCTAGGTAAGCCTCAATTTGGAATTGTGTCCATAACAATTAACACTGGAAATTAATTGCAGGTTGGGAATTGACACCAAAGCAATTCGATAATAACTTGGATAAATTATCAAGACGCAGATTCAATCATCTCTGGTATTCATTTTATTTTCTCATTCCTGATACACCTTTGCTCCCTTTTCTAAAAGAAACATCTTCATGCACCAAGAAACATTTTTCCGGATTTCGTATTCCATACAAACCTCTCACATTGTTAAATGTTAAGATTATCTCCATTTCGTGATAACGCTGTTTTATCTAAAAGTTTCTTGATGATCACGTCCTTAATTCCTTTTCCGATAAACTTAGATATACATCCGCAATGAATAATTCACTTGAGATAAGAAACCGTGGAGGAGAAACACATTGATTGTAATTAATGAATGCGACGCCGGAAGATGTAAACTTATTGTTATAACTCGAAACAACAGAATCATGCGGTGACAAGATTACCTGACGTAGCGGAGGTTTCTACATATATGTATATCAATCCAAGCAAACAGCAACCTTAACAAGGTTGGTGCCCGTTATATATGTATATACATGTTACTTGCAACCAGAAAGGCTATTACTACTAAAGCATCAAACGATAGAATAATAGATCAGTAGTAACAGCCTGACTCTGTCAAGCTTCATTAGAGATATATCGTTTGTTGCAGCAAGCGGTAACAGGAGGTGTTCGTGGAAATTTCTCTGCTTGTCTGTCTGCAAACGCGATACATGAAACGAGCATCCTAAATCACAGTTGTAGTCGTAATTCTGCTCATTCCAATTTCGACAAATGAAAAAAAAACAGAAATGCTGCGAAAACTGTCAAACATTTACTGATATTGCTATCATGAATAGTTTTCATGAATTTGGTACTGTTATTTAATCAGAATAATTGAATGCAAAATTAGGTCGCTAATCAGAGAAGTTGGAATTAGTCGAACCGTATCGTAATTGTTACTTCGGACCCCATTTGTACCAGCACAGTTTTTGTCATCCTAAAATTAGGTGTAATCAATTTAACCGAATCCTAATTGTTGGGACCCAATTACACCTAATTTCTGGATGACGGTTTTTGTCATCCAGAAATTAGGTGTAATTCTGTAATTGGAGTAGTCGAAATCAGTTCAACAGAAACCTAATTGTTACTTAGGACCCCATTGGTACCAGAACGGTTTTCGTCATCCGGAAATTAGTTGTAATTCCGTAATTACAGAAGTCGAAATCATTTCAACCGAATCCTAATTTTAGGGACCCTATTTGTGCCAGTACGGTTTCTGTCATTCAAAAATTAGGTTAATTCCGTAACTAGAGAAGTCGAAATCAATTTAACCGAATTCTAATTGTTGGACCCAATTAAACCTAATTTATGGATGACAAAAACCGTACGGTTTTAGTCATCTGGATATTGGGTCTAATTCTGTAATTAGAGTAGTCGAAATCCTAATTGTTACGTAGGACCCCATTGGTACCAGTACAATTTCCATCATCCAGAAATTAGCTCTAATTCCGTAATTACAGAATTCGAAATCAGTTGAACCGAATCCTAACTCGAGGGACCCCAATTGTACCATTACGGTTTTTGTCATCCAGAATTAGAACAATTAGCAAATATTTCCTGCAACTCATAGTCCGCAACTGCATTCGGAAGTAGGTGCAGTTTATTGAAAGCAGTTAATTCGAAATCAAACCTCCGATTCGAGATTATATCAATCCTTTTGGAAGTGGAAATCCGCAACTATCCGGGTAAATAATCCAAACAAGGTGGATTACAATTCCGCTCTGGAATTATTGCAATCATCATCATCATCAATGGAAAATTGGACTTCTTGAAATGTGACTGAATGAATGAAGTGAAATTTTGTTTTCAACGAATATCCATTGGCAATATTTGTGATTTGTTATTGGGAATGTGTTGCCTTATTAAATTGAAATATCTTGGGGAGGAAAATTGAGATGTATAGCTAATGCGTAAACTTGGAGCGAAGTAACCAGGAGCGAAAATAGAAAGTTGATGCGCAAGCGTTGATAACTAATGGAAGCGTAAAGTTGCGGGCCATGGGGTTAATACCTCATGTAACGAGAGTGTGATTTATGAGAGTGACAAACTAATGCCTGTGCCTTAAAAACTTATTTTCGACTGCGGCAAATTTTACTCACATTAAAATATTAAAAATGATTTACGATTGCTTTGAGAAAATATGTTATTCTGAATAATTTCGTAGGCAATATTGTAAAAATCGAGTATGACAATTTTGAGTACAAACCTTAGGTTTGAGACCTCACTTTCTTTTTGGACCAAGAAGCTGGGAATTTTTTGACGTCTCCTATTATCTTCCTGTATACTTTTAACCTGATCCATCTTCATCAGTTTGCTACATTTTCTCACCAGCATTACACTCCTCTTCAGCATTCTCTGCTTCCTTTTTTCCACTACTTTATCTCTTTCACTTTACTATGCACCCTCTACTTTGCAATTCTACTCAATCTATTTCCCGCTCATCTAACCCTTCATTAAACATTTTGGCAGGCAAGTCTGTATTATTTTCCTTCAAACTTGACAATGCGAAAAATTCCAAATGTTCCAACAGATGGAACATTTATCTCCACAATTTACAAAAATGGAAATCAAAAACTAACAATAACGGATATTTGAGAATATCTCTAGATAATTATCGTCAATAACCCAAACGAATGAAGCGGATGAAAAATAGTAACAGAAGCTCTAAAGGATTAAAAATTTTAATTCTGGATTCTGATCACTTGGAAGGAGCAAGAGATTCATTGTTGATGACAGTTGATCAAAGTGTCTTGAAAATAATTTACAAAATCAATTTCCCAAATCAAATTCTGATGATTGTATTCAATTTTTGAACGAAGGATTCACATAAAGTTTATCGAATCAAATTTTTGTTTTCCTAATAACACTCATTTACACCTGATGGCTATTTAGGATGAAAGTTTCCCCCTAGAAATTCTTCTGATCAGCGTTAACGAAACGAGGTTAATAAAGTCGTTCTAATTACAGATTAAGTTAACCGTAGTCGAAATTCCTCTTCAAACTTGTAGGGAAATAATTTCCGAGGAATTTCTCCATAAAAGCTTTTCCTCTTCGTACTTCTTTTTCTCTCCTCTTTCTTGACCTTTCGCCTCTTCTCTTATATCTGTTTTGCAGCAGCAAAAGCAATTAATTTTTTTTTTTTCGGTCATATTTTTTTTTTACCATTTAATTTAATTTGCCGCGGGATTTTTTATTTCCAAAAGTTTGTTACACTTTTGTAATTCTTTGATGATTAGTAGAAAATTTTATTTCTTGCCTCTAATTCAATTGACGATAAACATTTATCGTTTAGAGATGATAATCTAAGTATAAGGGGGTTTTTATTAGTGGCATTTTTTTTTTGAGCACTTGTCAGTTATTGTGAAGGGTGTGGAACATTGTTGGAAGCAGTGTACGGTAAAGTTTGCTCTGAAAGCAGTGTCAGAAAGTCTCTGTTGACTTTTACGACAGATAAAAGACTATCGGGGTCCCGAGGTATGCCACGTCGTGTTTCGCGATACAGTGGACAACGATAAAACTTAACTGCGTCCTTTCCGGCATACACAATTACGTGCGCCATACTCAGGCGTTAAATCATGCGCATATCTCAACTCGTCCCATTTCTCCTATGGATGAAAAAAAAGAACCACCCCCTCCCTCCCTCCCCCTCTTTACTATGAATAATAAACTAGCGTATCGCACGTTACCGTAAATTACGCCCACGGGATTGAAAAGCGACTGGCATTTTCCAAAAAAAAAATGCAACTTAACTCACTTTAATTTACACGCCAATTAAAAGAATGATTTACGAATGCGTTTAATAGAAAATCTTTTAATTGCGCCGATAAATATTAAAAAATGGAACTCGACTCTTTTATTAAATTCAATGTTACTAATGGCCACACACATTCTGCCGGAAAATATCCCAATAGAAATTTTTTTGCGAGTTAAATTTTTACACCTTTTTTTTGGGGGGGGGGGTTATGAAAAATTGTAACATTTATTTATGTTGGGTTTTTTTTTAAAGATAGGGAAAGTAAATCCAAACGTTTATCAATTTTTGGGGGGAGGGAATATATTTTTATTCCTCTACGTAAATCCCTGTTGGGAAGATTCATTGGGGAATTTCCTTCGTAGTTGTGGTGAAAGTTACTCTTGAGAATTTTGATGATTCCCCTTGAGGGCGATTTTGTAACTTATTTCGGGTTCCACATTTTGGGCTTTGTTTCTACATTCTGGATTCCGCATTCTATTTTTGATTCTAAATTACTAACATATTACAGATTCTACGTATTTAATTCTGGTTCCATATAATAACTCAACATTTCTGATTCCGATTCGTCATTCCGGATATCTTATTCTAGATTCCGGATTCCAGATTTCACATTCCGAATTCCGGGTCCCCATATAGGATTCCGTTTCCACATTCGGGATCCCTAATTTTGAATTACTAATTTCGCCTCCCATATTTCATATTCTGAATCCATTTCTTCATTTTAGATTTCGGATACAAATTATTTCCAAATTCCAGAATTGTGTAATTTGGAATTCGATATTCGTTAATAGGAATTAGGGACATGAAGAGGATAATTTGCTATCTGGAATGTGGGAATTGAGAACGAAATGCGGGAATTAAAATAAAGGACCTAGAATGTGGAATTCGGTATCCGAAATCTGTTGCGTAATTAAGGGGTCACGCCACCCTGAAAGCATAAAAATCGGATGGTTTTTTAGGAATTTTTTTGACGAAACTATTTGTGGTAGGAATTTTTTACATTTATTGCTAATTTAATACATATCTTAAGCTTTATAAATATTTTTAAAAAAGTTGTTTTTAATTAAAAATGGCTGAGATATAAGCATTGGCGTGGATCAGTTTTTCCGAAGCACTCCTTGATGGTGTTGGCATTTCAATTTTTGTCTGAAACGGAGCCAAAGAATGACCAGTTTCGTTAGGTGCAAAGTATCTTTAGAAACGAGATTCTATTGCATTGGAAGGGATACAATAAATAGGACCCTTCGTCAATCATGAAAGGGCCCCCTAGACCATTCAAAAGTGGATTCTCTAATGAATCTTCCCATGATGAAAGTTTCCCTTAAGATTCCAGCAAAATCTACCTGGATAGCTTCTAAGGAAGATTTATTTAACTCTAAAGTATTAAAATTAATTAGAATTATTACTAATTGCTTGCATTCGAAACTTAAATCGAAATCCACGTATGATTACAGGTTGACCTTGAACTTATCAAGCCGAAGGATGATTGGAAGGAATTCATCGTTTCATGGTAACTGAGAGCCAGATATCAAAGCTTCCCTTGAGACATATCAGTGACTTTCGTTGACGGTGTATGAGTTTATGTATGGGGGAGTTGTGTGGGTTACCAGTGCTCCAAAGTGAATTATTAGCATAACGAAGTTACAAAGTGATCCGTTATAGGGGAAAGCAGGTGGCACAGTGAGGGGAAAGTTCGCCGTTTGAGTTTCCCCACAGCAGCAAGGAGAATAGGTGGTGTCATCGTTTCGCGGATGGTGCTAATGTGATAGTAAAGGAAAGGGAGTGTAAGGTCGAGGGGTGGCTCAAGGCGCGGTATGGTGGTTGCCAACAAATGCTGCCATGCTCGAGCGATGCCAGCCGGCGGCCTGGACGTGGCCCCCGCTGGACCAGAGAATCCTGAGGATGCGGTGCAACCTTGTCTTCTCTCTTGGCAAGATCGGCTTTCTATTGCTTGCCACCATCATATCCAGCACCCATACAACAAGATACGCGTCCAGAATCGTCGAGACCAAGAGTGGACAAATTCGAGGAGTTCTACAAGTTAGTATATTTTATTTATTTCTCCCTTATTGCAATTACAAAAATTAAATCAACTTTTCAAGAATTTACTTCTGATTAGAAATTAGAAATTAAAAATTAAAAATTAAAAATTAAAAATTAAAAATTAAAAATTCAAATTTGCTGATCCATTTTAAAAGAAAGTAATTTGCATACCTAGTTTGAAAACAAAAGGAAAACAACCTTTTTTTCCCCTTGCAGCTTCTGGCAGACTCATTAAACTTTAGTAAAAAGATACTTTCCCTCCCGGAAAAAATTAAATTAGATAACAGCCAGTGAGTAAATTTTAATAACCCCCTGGAAAGAATGTTGATATAGAAAAAGAAATAATAATCTCCCCAAAAATGTAACCGAGAAAAAGAAAAATATGTTCAATCAATTGAAACGTATAATATAGGAAATGACATTTTCCGTAATTAGCAACACGATCGGTGGTGCGTTCATATAAAGTTGGTCCGGCGCCGCTTTTACTATGTGAATATCAATTAGACGTAATTGATGTCGGCCGTATCCGTCAAATACATTTCACGATTTGATTGAATGAAAGAGAATGCTTTTAGTTTGCACCCACCCAGTTACTGGCAATGCCAATAGGTGCGGTAGTTTCCCCGGCCTACAGACGCAGACCCGAGAGCCACGTGCTCGCAATTATTGTAAATACATCACTCTGCCTTGGCTTGATTCATTACCATTCCTCTGGAACAAAAAAAAATTACAAATTCACTCAATTTGACAAATCACTATATTTTCATAACAAGTGGAATTTTTATTTCCAAATTACAGACGGATTTATCCATATTTCACACTGTTGATGGAAATTTACCGTTTGCATTTCAAATATTAGTCACTTATTTACTCTCGAATGAAGAGCTCCCTGACTTTATTCGATTTCGAATAAATTGCAAAATTTGTTTATCGACAATTTTTATTATAAATATTTTTCTCGTTTGCAAAGAAACCAATTAAAATCGTGATAATTACTTGAGGGGGTGATATTTAAAAGCAATATTTTGTTTAACAGGATGATCAGAAAATAGATAGGGGAATTTGTATAGCAATTGGGAGAATTGTAAAACGATTGATGATCCTTGGATCCATCAACAAATATACTATCTAATTTCCCTAATTTTTCGAAATTTCAGACGCTTATTGAAATTAGGTTTTAAAACCGAATTCACCAATATATCGTGTTCCACAAATGGGTTTGTCTTTCAGTTACGTTTCAAAGGCTGTCTGATGATTCATTGGACCTTTCCAGATGTTATTCAAAACTAAACAGCGTTTCATTGTCGGGAAACATTATCCTTACTCTGCATTCGAAACCGAATTCAAATCATTTTATTTTTAAAAAGTAAGTAAAGAATTTCAATTTTTGTCTTTTTGGGTAAACTTGCAAGATTTCGTCATTAATAATTCAGGGAAGTCGATGAATATTCTCTTGCGGAAATTACTTTAAACTTAATTAATTATAGCGTGCGTAAACGTCCGGTATTTGATCCTTCATACACACGAACAGTTTCAAGCAACATATTCTCTTAGAGTAATCTGTCTAAATTGCACATAATATTCCTAAACTTATTGATCCTCCAAGATGCAAATTTGCAAAGTCTAGTTCATTCAACTCCAAAAAAAACGGATGGTTATTAATTTCTATAAATAATTTCAAATCCTTGTTCTCTTCCAGATTCGGTTAAATTCTTTTCATACATCATTTTGGGAATAATTCTTCTGAATTACGTATAACTCTAAAAATGGATAACATGAAAATTTTAGAGCGGTTTGAAAAGTACTAATAGAGAATAATAATTTGCAGATGACAGATAAACGTGAGATGCCTTTATATAGAGGACGCAAATTATCATAATTTAGTTCCGCAAATAGTTACCGAGAATTTTTAACTAGTATAGCAGTATGTCCCAATTGAAATTGGAATCAACCCTTCTTTGTAATGAATTCATATCCCCTTTGTGCAATACCGCTCATGAGACTGATTCAATTACATATCGGAACAACATAGAAGTAAATTACGCGGTGTGTTAATTGCATTACATTGAATTTAAATGTATGATATATACTAAAACAGATTATATTTATGAACCGCACGTAATTTAGGCACTCATTGTCAGTTACGACTTATGCGCATGTAGTCCCAAATAGAAATGATGATATTTATTGTACTAAAATATGGTATTACAGTGGGCAAAAGTCAAAATAAAATTGTACGCAATTATTTAAAGGATTTATCAATTGGCAAATGGATTTAGCATTTAGAAAATGATTTATTTCAATAAAATTCTCTGAAATTCTGGTAAAAAATTAGAAAGACAGTTTTGGTTAATTTACGTCATCCATAATGCACTCCAAATTGACAGAAGACTGTGATCATCAAAAATCAGCTGATGGGGATAGTGACCTTGGCTTACAGCGGGACGCATGATTATTCCCCAAAGGTCATTTTTCCGAAATGTCATTTTACCGAACTGCACTTTTGCGAATAGCCATTTTTGCGAAAAGCCAATATGTGAAATGTCACTTTTGCGAATTGTCATTTTTGCGAATTGTCATTTTTGCGAATAGCCAATTTTACGAATTGTCAATTTTCTGAAAAGTCATTTTTGCGAATCGTCATTTTTACGAATTGTCAATTTTTCGAAAACTCATTTTTTGCAAATTGTCATTTTTACGAAAAGACATTTTTGTGAAATGTCATTTTTGCGAAAAGTAATTTTTACGAATTGTCATTTTAAAGAAATGACATTTTTGCGAATTGCCATTTTTACGAATAGCCATTTTTACGAATTGTCATTTTTGCGAATAGTCATTTTTGCGAAAAGTCATTTTTACGAATTGTCATTTTTGCGAATTGTCATTTTTGCAAATCGACATTTTTACGAATTGTCAATTTTCCGAAAAGTCATTTTTGCGAACCGTCATTTTTACGAATTGTCAATTTTCCGAAAAGTCATTTTTGCGAATTGTCATTTTTGCGAAAAATACAATAGTGAATTTTGTAGACCTACAAGTTTTCTATTGTATTTTTCGCAAAAATGACTTTTCGGAAATTTGACAATTCGTAAATATGTCGATTCGCAAAAATGACTTTTCGGAAAATTGACAATTCGTAAAAATGGCGATTCGCAAAAATGACAATTCGCAAAAATAACAATTCGTAAAAATAACTTTTCGCAAAAATTACTATTTGCAAAAATGACAATTCGTAAAAATGGCATTTCGTAAAAATGGCGATTCGCAAAAGTGACAATTCGCAAAAATGTCAATTCGCAAATATGATTTTTCGCAAAAATGGAAATTCGTAAAAATGGTGATTCGCAAAAGTGACAATTCGCAAAAATGACATTTCTCAAAAATGACAATTCGCAAAAATAACTTTTCGAAAATATTACAATTCATAAAAATGGCGATTCGCAAAAATAACTTTTCGGAAAATTGACAATTCGTAAAAATAGCGATTCGCAAAAATGACAATTCGCAAAAATAGCTTTTCGAAAAAATGACAATTCGCAAAAGTGGCATTTCGCAAAATTGGCTTTTCGCAAAAATGACTATTCGCAAAAGTGCAGTTCGGTAAAATGACATTTCGGAAAAATGACATTTGGGGAATAATCATGCGCCCCCTTACAGCATTTAGCAAATGACCCATCAGGCAAAGTAGAGATTGCACAACCCAGATGATAAGGAAGTTGACACCCAGAAAAACTTTGCTAAACTTTAAACTATTTAAACTATTTACATCATAGCATTTGATTACAATTCTCGACTTTTGAAGCAAAACATAATAAAACTAGCAATTAAAAGATTCAACACGGAGAGTGTGAGGAGCTTAATGGCATCGCGCAGAGTGGACAACCTGATGCTTGCTCCTATGTCCAGGCTCACTGAATAGAAAGTGAACTAAACAGATTAGAGATAGGAAGGACCATACAAGTAATGTTTACAGCCGACTGTAGTGATAGATAGGTACCAACGAGAATTGTGTGAACTGCCGCTTGAAATATTCGACCTCTGAATTTCGATAGGAATCTAAACTGAATAAATCAACAGAAAGCTGATGATCTCCAGAAAGGATTTGCATTTTCAGTATACACTTGGATTTCTGTTGTTCTCTTGTCTCACACGTGCCTCTAAATCTTCCGCTTATATAACTATCGTATTATTGAAATTAAAAAACAAAAGTAATGTCAACATTTAGAATTTTCGAAAGGAAATTTACTAAGTTTCAATATTGGAACATAACTTGTTTTCCAATATAAAAAATTATTAAGCAGTTTTAAAATCAATTTAAGGTAATTACTTTTCTAGATAGGTAGTAAAACATTGTAACTGGGTTAAAGTACGAGGGACCGAGGGGCGGAAAATGTAATTCTGTAACGACAGTACTTTTATCACCAAAAGGGAATATTAACGTGCTGGTAAAGTTACTTGAACATACGTTTATTTTATAATGTTATAGATGTAATAAATTATTTTATACGAAGTTGATTAATTGAAGTTAGTGTCAAAGGCTTCATCGTCATTCGAATCTTTAAATTTATTTTCCCTTTTTGTAAAATTTTGCTGATGGTATCGTTAGCGAATATGTAATAATTGATATAATCGACATTACAATTTACAATTAGTCATATCACTTTTGTTCTCCTGGTATTTCAAGATAAACAGAATTCACGTACATTTGACTGCAAATCCCTAAAAAAGGATTAACTAACATTTTAAGGATTTGAGCAACTGTCGCTGTTATCCGGAGAAACGAAATTTGACGAATTAAGCGGCTTTTCCAAATTCGTAAACTGAACTGACCTAATTCGACAAAAATTGTTAGGGGGTGGAGTTAGAATGTATTACGCCAGCAAAAGAACTTTTGTTAACAAAATTTTTTACTCTGAACATTATTCTCCAAATGTTGTTTTTGATGATTTTATCTTAACTGGGAAATCATGACAATTTGGAGGTAATTTATCACTAATTCCAATGAAATCGTATTTCTCGAAATGTAATTTCATTGTAATTGTATTTTCGAAGTATCGGGGGGGGGCTTTCGCCTTCATAATAGAACAGTCGGAGTGTCGGACGTGATATCGCTAGACCGTCGTCGCCATCAGATTGAAATTTCAAGTCATCAAGGAAACTGCTTCCTAGCACATATAATTGGATAAGAATCTCGATTATCCAAGAATGCTATAACGGAAGACAAATTGAAGGAACAATGCAGCTATTCAAAATTTGAATCATCGATTCCAAAAAAGAATGATGAGAATTGAGAATTGATCATAGATGCAACACCTATTTGCCAATCACCACAACGATCTGAATCGTCACATCATCTTTTGGAATTGTCCCCGAACCATTATCGTTAATTATTAATCACCAAATGTTATTAAATATCTCCTTTCATCAAATTAATTAAATTTTTGGCCAACATTATCGTAGATTCATAAAACTATTAATTTTCCCATCATTCCATATAATTCCAAAGTTTAAGGGAATCTAAAATCTAGACGCGATAGAAATTATTGCATCACGTGACTAACAGCAATAAAGTTAACCTTAAATTCTGCTGTCTCGTCGTCGAGACTTATTGGATTGGGAATACCTTATTTTGAAGAGTTCATGAAACATTTATCACGGTGGCATAGTACACCTTTCATTGTGGGGGAAAAAATCATAAAACTTGGTAAAGTAATATGAAACGAAAAGAACCTAGGAGGAGCACGGAAAGTTATTCTTCCAGTGAAGAAAAATTTTCTCGTTATACTCGTAAAGAAGCGGCGAAATAAAGCGACGAAATAAAGTAGATTAAAAGTGCTGGCGGTGGAGTATAAGGTCAGATAAAGTGCGTCAAGTGCTGCTGACTCAGAAATAGAAATACGTGCCGAGCAGGAAATCGGATTGACTATTCGCAAGTCGTACAATTCAAAGAATATATATTGTCTCTTCAAATTGTGTAATTTCTCAATATGTCGAAAACTTCTTGTGCTGGTAGATATAAAAAAAACTATAGTCTATTTTCCAATTTCAAATTCTTTGATAATATTTTGATTTGATGAATTTTCAAGATGATTTATTGTAAAAAAAAAGTAATGTTCACTTCAAAGCTGATGGTGAATTTTTTTAAATAATTTTTCTATCATGCCTATCAGCTTGAAAATAATGAAAAAAGACTGTACATCAACATATTATTGGAGCAGAAGAAAAAGTGGAAAAAAACGTCCTTCCTTTTATGAATTGTGCGATGAAGTATAGTTCACGAATATTTTGTCAGGCACCACTAGGAGTCTGGAGCAATCGTTAATATTTAATGTTTGCGATGGGGAAAAAAATGCTTGATATAAAAATTTGACGCAAGCCCTCGGACGCGTGCGATGAAAGCCCATTTTTTTTATTGTTTCTTCCATAACAAGCGCCTGTCGGTATTCGCGGCGTTCACTCGTTAATGGAAATTCGTGTCGGTGATCATTCGTTCGTCCTATGCCATTATCGATTCAGCCACATCGAATACCAGTGGCATGGCAGAGAGAATAATTAACGATATCCTGTATCTCCTATGGTCCGATTCTTTTTTTTTTAATTGCTTTGGTTGGTTTATCGTGCCAACACAGGTGTATAGAAGTTTAAAAAAATAGTCAAACTGGCATTAGATTAAAAAAAAGTAATATTTCCGAGTTATGAAAAATATTTAAATGGCGGAATTATTATTTTCAATAGAATCAAACTGTTTTTATAACTTTTTGGAGTAAGTCTTCTAATCGAAATTGATATCCTTTAATTTCTGTTTATAGGAACTGAGCAGCCAATATTTAGATCCAGTGGAGGTCTTTCGTGGAATACCGTACGCTGCGCCACCTGCAGGAAGCTTACGCATGAAACCACCAATGCCACCTCTACCTTGGGCGGGAATAAAACTTGCGGACACTTTTGGAGCCGTTTGTCCTCAAAAGTTGCCGGACATCAGCAACATGTCGATAGCACTAACACACATGCCAAAAAGTCGCTACACCCAATTGCAACGTTTTTACACACTACTGACCAATCAGAGCGAAGACTGTCTTTTCTTGAATCTCTACATTCCCGGAAGCGGTAAGTAATTAATTTCAAAATCCACTCAAATCTCTAAAAGTCAAAAAAAAAAAAAAAAAACAAGATTACAACCGTAACTACAAAAGAATCTTTTTCAAAAGTTCGTGGCTTCTTTCCTCCAACTCTTTTTTTCTCACTTTAATAATTCCATGAGCTGATTTATAAAAACAGTAATTTTTATCTGCCATCTCGGTATGTCGACGACTTCCTTCGGAGCATTTTACTGGAAAAAGGAAATCCACTCTCCTTAATGAATTTTCAGTCCGACTAATTCACTCACGTAATTTTCTCTGACTTTGTAACTGAGTCAGTCCAGTGCCTTTGAACAAAGCGAGGGAATCTTTGCACCAGTTATAGTACACAATTAAAGGCGACACGAACTCCCACGGGGTTGGTTAATTAATTGCCACCAGCTGTCACTTCGAAATTCCGTATCAAGGATTTTAATAAAGAACGTTTCGGTTCTTTTTTTTTTAGTCGGGAAAAATCAACGTTTAAATTGAGAGCCAGTAAATAGGGAAAAATTTTTAATATTCCTCTATTGCAATGAATCTCTATCAACATTCTCTAATTTACTTTTCATTCACTTAAAGATTAGAGGAAATTAAGTTATTCCACAAATAGAATGTTCCTTCTTTAATCCATTAAGGAATTGAGTGGATCTTTTTTTTTGTGTGTGCAAATTTCGATTGGGTATTCTTTGTAACAATTCAGTGATTATTGCCCATCAAGGGGGAATAAGTTCTTCATTCTATGTCTCCTAGATAATATTTTTCTGACTTTCAAAAATTTTGGGTTTTTGTTTTGAATTGCATTCACACTTTCACTTCCCACTTTCACGTCTCACTTACCATCTTCCACTCTCACTTTCCACCTTTAACTTTCCACTCTTACTTCCCACCATTCATCTTCCTTCCCCAATCTGACTTCCCACCTTCCACTTCCCACCTTTCACTCCCACTTTCCACTCTCACTGCCCACCTTTCACTCCCACTTTCCACTCTCACTTCCCACCTTCCACTCCCACTTTACACTCTCATTTCCTACCTTCCACTATCACTTCCACCTTTAACTTCTCACCCTAACCTTCCACTTCTCACTCCCACTTTCCACTATCACTTCCCACTTTTCATTTTCAAATTCACACTTTCACTTGTCATTCCCACTTTCCACTCTCACTTCCCACCTTTCACTCCCACTTTCCACTCTCACTTCCTACCTTCCACTCCCACTTTACACTCTCATTTCCTACCTTCCACTATCACTTCCACCTTTAACTTCCCACCTTAACCTTTCACTTCTCACTCCCACTTTCCACTATCACTTCCCACCTTTCATTTTCAAATTCACACTTTCACTTGTCACTCCAACTTTCCACTCTCACTGCCCACCTTTCACTCCCACTTTCCACTCTCACTTCCTTTCTTCCACTCCCACTTTACACTCTCATTTCCTACCTTCCACTATCACTTCCACCTTTAACTTCCCACCTTAACCTTTCACTTCTCACTCCCACTTTCCACTATCACTTCCCACCTTTCATTTTCAAATTCACACTTTCACTTGTCACTCCCACTTTCCACACTCACTTCCCACCTTCCACTTTCCACATTCCATTTGACACTTTCACTTCTCACCTTCCACTCTCACTTCCCATAATACACTTCCCACCTTCCTCTCTCACTTCCCACCTTCAACTTTTAACTCTCACTTCATCAATTTCCACATCCTACTCTTACTTCCCACCTTCCACTTTCACTTTATAATTCCCACTTCACATTTTCACTTCCCAGGTTTCCACTATTGAGAGTAAAAAATATAAAGCGCGAGTGGGAGTGGAAGGTAGAAAGTAGGAAGTGAAAGTGAGTAATGGAAAGTAGGAAGTGAGAGTGGAGAGTGGCAGGTAGAAAGTATGATTGGGTTGTGAAAATTAGGAAGTGAGAGTGGAAAGTAAAAGGTGGGAAGCAAGAGTGTGAGGTGGGAAGTGAAAGCGTAAAGTGAAAGGTGAGAAGTCAAAATAAGAGAGGAAGGTAGGAAGTGAGAGTTGAAAGTGGGAATGGAAGATAGGAAGTGAGAGTGAAAAGTGGGAGTGGAAGGTAGGAAGTGAGTGTGGAAAGTGAAAGTGTGAATTAGAAAGTAGAAGGTGTTAATTAGAAAGTGGGAAATGGAAGGTATGAAGTGATTGTGGAAGGTAAGAAGTGAAAGTGAGAATTAGAAAGTGGGAAATAGAAGTTGGGAAGTGAGAGTTTAAGAGAAAGTAGAAGTTAAAGTGGGAGTGGAAGATAGGAAGTGAGAGTGGATAGTGGGAGTGGAAGGTAGAAAGTGAGAGTGGAAAGTGGGAGTGAAAAGTGAAAGTGTGGATTAGAAAATGGAAGGTGGGAAGTGAAAGTGGAAGTGGTAAGTGGATGGTTAGGGTGGAAAGTTAAAGGTGGAAGTGATAGTGGAAGGTAAGAAATAAGAGTGTAAAGTGGGAATTAGGAAGTGGAAAGTGAGAAGCTAAAGTGGGAGTGAAAGGTAGGAAGTGAGAGTGGAAAGTGAGAGTGAAAGGTGGGAAGTGAGAGTCGAAAGTGGGAGATGGGAAGTCAGATTGGGGAAGAAAGACGGATGGTAGGAAGTTAAAGGTGGAAAGTGAGAGTGAAAGATAGGAAGTGAGACGTGAAAGTGGGATGTGAAAGTGTGAAGTGGGAAGTGGAAGGTGGGAAGTGAGAATGGAAAGTGGGAAGTGGTAAATGAGACTGGAATGTGGGAGTGGAAAGTGGAAAAGTTACAGAATCGATCCCAAGAAATTTACCGTAAAAATAAACATTAAATTAATATTTTTCGTAACCTAAACTGTCAAAATAAAACCTTCGTTACATCATCTATCACTGATACGATTATGTTTTTCATCTTCGCTTTTTATACTCTTTCTGATAGTTACGACACTGTTGAGCCAAGTTTTTATGATTGTGCTTTACAGACTCCAAAATATTTCGTTGAAAAGTATTCTCGGTTTAATATTCCTCCCTCAGTCCATAAAATACTAATTCATGGCTCCTTTGTTATTCAAGATGCTACACTGCCTATAGGGAAACTTTCTCAGAGAGCCCATGGAAGCATGCAATAAAAATTTTAAGGACGCTTCAAGATTGTCAATCGACATTTTTGGCTTCCTCAGTCAGTCTTCACTTTAGAAATTCTACCCCTTGTCAAGTCCTTTACGTAGGTCGTGAAATATTTTTATTTTAAAAAACTCTTTAATGCACGAGATAAAACATTTTTTTCAATTTCTCTCAAACAGATCATTAAAAAATTGCAACAACTTATAAAATTTTCTATATTCAGCTATGTATGGCAAATATTTCAGTTGAACAAGAATCCTGAGTATTTATTTTATTACATTAGCCTGTATTATGTACTTTCGTCTGTAGAACATTTTTTCACATTTTTTTTTTGTTTTTTCTTATCATCTTGAAAAGGGTTTTTTCTCATATTCTTCACAGTTTACGTCGTTTAGCGTTGTCTATTGTTAACCTTGTCTATCTCATCGTACAAATTTCTTTTCTCATTTTTCATCTCCGGCTTCTTTTATAAGTCTCGCACTCTTTCCCCTTTGTCTTGATGGTTTTAAAAAAGTAGACCGTCTTCATTAGCCATTGCTTAGATTTAAGTTTTGATTTTAATAATATTCTCCAATTTTTGCAAATAGAAAAATTTTGACCGCAATCTTTATTATTCGTGACGAAATTAATCTTTATTGTATGCTTCGTTTCCATATTAAAAAATAACTTTTTTTTACTGATTTTAAAACAATATTCCAATCAACAAAATGCAATTTATCTTAGACACTCTCCTCTTCCAATTTTCCTCAAATTGAGTTTCTTTAATTTGCTATTTGCTTCTTTTTGAACAATTAAATATATTAGCTTTTCAAGTTGATTCGCAGAAAATTTCATCTTGATTTGTTTTTTATTGATCTAGTTTGCGAAAACCTTCGGGTAGACGCTATTGGAAATCAGGTTTAACTTTTAAAAAAACGATTACTCTGCGCTAAATGAATAAACTTTCTATTCTGTCTTTAAAACATTTCCCAGCTTTAAACTATACAGAATAATTACTTTTTAATTTGAAAAGTAATTATCAATAAATATTTACGTTAACATTGTCTAAATATATAAAACAGTTTGGTATTTATAATTAAAAACAGAAATATTTCTCTTTTTTATACTTTCAGAACAATTAGCAAATAACACAATTACGCAATTCTAACTTTTACGAATATATTTTGTATTATCAGATTAAAAATTACAATCAGAATTTATTTTTACCTTTTTAAGAACTTCGTCATAGGAAACATTGATAAGCAATGATAAGGATACTAAATATTTCAGGATATAATTTCATCAATGTGAATATGAATCTTTACTGCGGAGAAATTTACTTATTTATACTTCTATAACTCACTTAGAAACTACTATACAGCTTTGAATTTTTTATGATGTTCCTTAAAAGGTTAAACTAGAAACCCATGTAGGAACTTGTGTTTAACAAAGAAACTTTTGAAAGACACTTCACAAGTCCCTTCACGATTTCCTGTACAAGAGAAACTTTTAAATTAAGAACTGTATTCTCATTTGAAACATTTTTAGAAACATATACATATTACCATTTCTTTTCATTCTTAATTAAAAAATAATTATTAAAAAAAAAGTTTCCTAACTTTTTTTTACGAAATCTGATTATCTTGCACTGTAACAAGATCATTAGAGTTTTAAAAATACTTTTTTCCTTTCTTATTATAAAGGATCACGAGGAGTGGATGCGCCCTATGCAGTCATAATGTACGTTCACGGTGAAAGCTTTGAATGGGGATCCGGCAACTTTTATGACGGATCCGTACTTGCCAGTGCTGGTCACGTTATTGTGATCACTCTCAATTACCGCCTTGGAATATTAGGTAAGTTGGCAAAAAAATGTATTTAAAATATATTCACGCCGCGGGGGATAATTTATATTCAACTAATTCCAAATCTTGGAAGTCTTCTGTTGATTTGAATAGTATTTTAAAAGCTACTAAAGAGTTACAACTGTCTAATAATTTCTGCACAATTTTCCATTACTAAAAATAAGAGATCAAGAATAATCTCAACGATAGGTTTTTCTAGGCGCACTAATATGGACTGCAGTTGTTAATTTCACAAAGCGTCTTTTTGTTGTCGAAGTGGGAGTTGATATCTCTGATGCAAACTGTTCTACAAAGTTTGATTCGAATTAAATAACTAATATCTTCATTAATAAACTAGCTGATTGTCTGGTATTGGTGATCCAAACCTTATTCACAGAGCAGGAAGTTAAAGTTTTTATTTGAATCCTTTACAATTAGAAAGATTAGATCCAGATGTCTTCAGGGACACTGAAACAAAATTAGAACTTTGTGGAATCAAAGAGAATTTAAATGGGGGCCAAATTTAAAGTATCAGTTATTTTCCTTTTGGAATTATTGTTAGACTCGTAGACTCAGTAACCGATTCCTCCTTCAGTGTGAGGTGGAGGAAATGACGTTGACTAGCGGAAACATAAAATGCAGTAGATTTCCCTCAAATTGTTTTCGGGTTAGCCAAAGTAAAAGGTCCGGAGATCAGGTGTCGATGTAAATTTAAACACCCATCAGCCTAGGAGTGACCGAATTATTTATTTCATGTTGATGTGGTAATGCAGTCTTGAAAAGGTTTTCTGGACTGTAATCGAAGAAGAAACTTGATGACAGTAGACATGATGATGGAATTTCCTGGACTGATGATTTTGACAAAGTGGTAATTTATGGACTGGACACTTGATGACTGTACACAACTAATTAACTTGATGACGTTTCCTGGACTGACGAATTCGACAAGGTGGCGATTTATAAACTGGACACTTGATGACAGTACACAACTAATTAACTTGATGACATTTCTTGGGCTGACGAATTCGACATGGTGTCGATTTTTTGACTGGAGTCGAAGAAGACACTTGATGACAGTACACAACTAGTTAACTTGATGGCGGTTGCTGGACTGACCCAGGAAGCAATTCTTCCTTCAGTGTGAGATTGGAGGAAATGACTTTGACTAGCGGAAACAGAGAATGCAGTAGATTTCCCTCAAATTATTTTCGGGTTAGCCGAAGTAAAAGGTTCGGAGTCCAGGTGTCGACTCAAATTAAATTGAACCCCCTTCAGCTTTAGAGTGACCGAATATTATTTATTTGACGTTGATGTCGAAATAATGCAGTCCTTAGAAAAATAGAAATCTGCCTCGTGGTAGAAATTATCTTCTTGAATGAATTTGACTAAGACGAGACTCGAAGAAGGCACTTGATACTTGAAGAGATTTTCTGGACTGGCGTCGAAGAAGAAACTTGATGACACTACGCAACTAGTTAACTTGGTGGTGGTTGCTGGACTGACCCAGGAAACAATATCTTCCTTCAGTGTGAGGTCGAAGAAATGACTTTGACTAGCGGAAACAGAGAATGCAGTAGATTCCCCTCAAATTGTTTTCGGGTCAGCCAAAGTAAAAGGTCTGGAGATCAGGTGTCGATGTAAATTTAAACACCCATCAGCCTAGGAGTGACCGAATTATTTATTTCATGTTGATGTCGTGGTAATGCAGTCTTGAAGAGGTTTCCTCGACTGGAGTCGAAGAAGAAATTTGATGATAGTACACAACTAGTTAACTCGGTGGCGGTTGATGGACTGATGAATTCGTCAAGGGTGTCACCTTTGATAGGTTGCTTTCTGGGTCAGTTTTTTCTATTGATTTAATTTGGACGCGTGTGCTTAGTTCCTGTAACAGTTAGGTGAGTGCCCCTTCAGGAACGTGACAAAACGTTGATGACCATATTTGGTATCTGTTCCTCAGATGTAAGACTATTGGATCAATGTTGTTTCGGTTATAAAAAAGATTAGAAGATGACACCAATTCTAGTTATTAATGGTCGTACAGTTTGCAATCAACAACCAAATTTGGTGATTATTTTCTCCTCTTTCATCTTCGTCTTTAGTTTGTTACTAACATTACTCATTGATATAAAATCGTTATCCACATCCTCTAAATTAATTTCCATTCAGACATAAAATGTCTTTTCGTTCGAATAATTTGATTTACGAAAGAAAACAGAACGTACTTAACTAAGATTTATTTTTCACAGGTTTCTTGCGAACTGCCTCGTATCCGGATGTGGTCTCAAGTTCTGGAGGTAATTTGGCTCTAAGGGACATAGCAATGGGACTTCGTTGGGTTCGGGATAACATTGCTGCCTTCGGTGGTGACCCCACGAGAATCACGTTAATAGGTCACGACACGGGAGCCGCTCTAGCAAATTACCTACTACTTGCACCCTTTGGGAAAGGTGAGTACACTGAACTTTTATTTCTCAACTTTCAATGCTCTCCGTACGGCTGTTAATTTAAAAACCATTTATTACTCCAAGACAAATATATATATAAAGAGAGCGAGGGCGCGCAAGTAAGAAAGTTAGATAACGCTTATGGCCAAGTTTAAATATTAAGCAAACTGAGAAATTTAGTTAGGAGAGAAACTAAAACTGAGTTGACATTTCATTGCTTCCAAAGCGTAAGGATTCAAAAACTCGTAATCGAGATTTATCCAAAGTTTCACGGATATCGTAGTGTGACACCGTTCGGCAATTAAAAGTTAATATCGTCAACGCCAGACCAACGATAAAAGTTCACTCGGTCTGTAATTAATTAACGCTATACAGACACCCCAGGAAAAGTTTTCTAGAGCGCTATTGATTATTTTAAATGCAAAAAAAAGGGTGAAAAATAATTGCCTATAGGATTGGATCATGGAAAATGTTCTTTAAGTTTCTAACTGAAGCGATTGCAGATTTTCAAAGTAATTAGATGCAATTTTTGTAAAGTCTTTAATGACATCAAATTAAAGTGGAAGAAAAATCAATTCGCTTCTAAATTAAATTTACCCGGCTATTGTAATTAGCATTTCAATTTAAAATGATCAGTCCACTGAAGTAACGGCTTTCAGAAACGGTTTCATTTTTGTTACAAATAAAAAATGAATATTAACCAAGAACAGCAATGGATATAAATAAATAACAGTAATTTCGGTATGTATACTAAAACTAAAAAAATCCGATACTATGAAAAGAGCAGGTGAAAGTGAAGAGCATAGTGAAATGGTATAAAAAGCTTGAAAGCAAAAGGAGTTGTGACATTTTAAAATACTCTAACAGAAAAAGTAGAAAAAAAAATTTAATATTTGCATGAGAGGTATGAAGGGGAGTTATGGGTACAGTGAAAAGAGTACGCCTTGTGAAAGGGAGTAGATTTTCGTAAAACGGAAGAGACGGGCCGAGCTCTCTTGAAAACGTGACGTGCCACTTTAACCACGATCTCGGACCGGAAGCTGAGTCGAAAAGGTAGTGGAGAGCGAGCGAGAGTCTCTTTTTCTCGGGTAAAAACTGTGCTTCGTATTGGAGTGCGCCAAGCGCATGGCGATGTAAACTGTTTGCTCCGTTTCCGGTACCACCGGAGGTTTGGGAAATGGCACTGCAGAATGGATCCGGCGTTTGCTTCTCTGTTCGAGACTTTCTCTCCCACTCCACTTTTTTTTCATAGTCTACCTTTTCCTCGTTCAGTTGTTGTAAAGCCAACAGGCACTGTTTCTTTCACCAATTCTCAGAAAACGAATACAACAGATGAAGGCCCATCGGGAATAGCAACAGATACACCCTGACGCGTACTCCTCAAGCAAAAGTATTTCACTCTCCTTGGATTTTTACTTATTTTTCAAACCACTCTGAATAGAAGCATTTTGTGAATGTATTGAATGAGGAGAGCCATCAATGTAATTGCGAGACTGTGAATACATTTCATTTTTCGTGATGAAGGACGTTTTTATTTAAATTTAATACTTTTTATTTCATTTTTCCATTGGTCACTCTTTTTTTTTGCTCTGGTAACATCCCTCATCAAATTGGAGTGTTTGCGGATTTAAAAGCCATGGATTTGTCACCTGCAGTCGATCAATGTTTAGCTAACATGAAAGAGAATGAACAAATTGTAATTAACAAATAAGAATTGTAATAGTAAATAATAACAATGAATTGTAGTTGACAATTAACAACAAATTAAAGTTTCTGAATTATAAAAACGTGTATTAGAAAGCAGGACAGGATGTTTGTCAACCATTTGCTAATATTTACTAAAACATGTTTTAAGTAAGGTTAATTATTATTGGCGACTGATGAATATAGCAATTCTCATATCAGTGCTAAGTAGTTATATTAACCCCAGACACGTAACCAATTAATTTGGCAAACCTGAACATCATAAATATTGTCATAATCAGTAAGCCGCAAAAGCGTAGGTAGATCAAAATTCACAGACTAGCATGATTTTCGATTTAATGTATTAAAAAAAAACCGAGATTTTTTTGTTCACTTCATTCCTTGCTTTTTTCTAAAAGAAATTCAATATAAATAATTGCTACATTCCAGAGTTACATTTGACATGATATTTTCTCCATTCTGGACCCTCTTTAGAAGTTTATAAATTTATATTCTCCAGTACTATCTGGTTGTTGGTTTATATGTTGGAAGTACAAATAAACAGTTTTAAAATTCTTGCAAGTTGACAGAAAAGTTTTTTGCTATGAGACAACTGTTACAATTTGTCTGCGGTACGACAATGTTGGAATTTTCCAACAAAAATGTACTCTACATTGTGAAAAGGGGAGAAGAACGAAAACAGGGTGAAAATATGTAGAATATGGTGGAGAAGCAACTACCGGATCTTCTCACTGAAACAACGCTTTCCGGACCTACGAAGAGCAATTCCGAATACGAAGTAAACATTACGTCAGTAGTGCTCGCCTGCAAACCACAATCAATAAGAGTATAAATGTATCTCTCTCTTGCTCCACTCAGAAATTTCAACGAGTGTTCTCATCTAACTTCTTCTTCTACAAGAAAGTTTTTTTATGTCTCAATAAAACTTATAGGAAATGTTTATAGTTTTTAAAATTACTCTAATTATACCTAATTAAATAGATGAAAGTTTCTTTAAGTTTAAGGATTTTTTATTATTTCGATCTTTCTTTATTTCGAGTGCTGTCCTCGGGAATTAATGAGGAAAATCCTCATATTCTTGTAATCGAAGAAACATTCGTCCAATTGTCTTCCACATGGGTGAACGGTTAACAAATATGGTCATCAACTTTTTGTCACCTTTCTGAAGGGGCACTCACCTAACTGCTACAGGAACTAAGCATACGCGTCCAAATTAAATCAATAGAAAAAACTGACCCAGAAAGCAACCTATAGAAAGTGACACCCTTGACGAATTCATCAGTCCATCAACCGCCACCGAGTTAACTAGTTGTGTACTATCATCAAATTTCTTCTTCGACTCCAGACGAGGAAACCTCTTCAAGACTGCATTACCACGACATCAACATCAAATAAATAATTCGGTCACTCTAAAGCTGAAGGGGGTTTAATTTAATTTGAGTCGACATCTGGACTCCGAACCTTTTACTTCGGCTAACCCGAAAACAATTTGAGGGAAATCTACTGCATTCTCTGTTTCCGCTAGTCAAAGTCATTTCCTCCAACCTCACACTGAAGGAAGAATTGCTTCCTGGGTCAGTCCAGCAACCGCCACCAAGTTAACTAGTTGTGTAGTGTCATCAGGTGTCTTCTTCAACTCCAGTCCAGAAAATCTCTTCAAGTATCAAGTGTCTTCTTCGAGTCCCGTCTTAGTCAAATTCATTCAAGAAGATAATTTCTACCACGAGGCACATTTCTATTTTTCCAAGGATTGCATTACCTCGACATCAACGTCAAATAAATAATTCGGTCACTCCTAGGCCGAAGGGTATTTAATCTAATTTGCATCGACAACTGGACTCGGGACCATTCACTTTGGCTGTCCCGAAAATAATTTGAGGGAAATCTACTGCATTCTCTGTTTCCGCTAGTCAAAGTCATTTCCTCCAACCTCACACTGAAGGAAGAATTGCTTCCTGGGTCAGTCCAGCAACCGCCATCAAGTTAACTAGTTGTGTACTGTCATCAGGTGTATTCTTCAACTCGAGTCCAGAAAGCGACAACTTGTCGAATTCGTCAGCCTAAGAAATGTCATCAAGTTAATTAGTTGTGTACTGTCATCAAGTGTTCAGTCCATAAATCTCCACCTTGTCGAATTCGTCAGTCCAGGGAATCTCATCAAGTTAACTAGCTGTTTACTGTCATCAAGTTTCTTCTTCGACTCCAGTCCAGAAAACCTCTTCAAGTACCAAATACCTTTTTCCAGTCTCGTCTTAGTCAAATTCATTCAAGGAGATAATTTCCACTACGTGGTACATAAGGTCCCATATCAGTTGATAGGGGAAATTTGCCGAATTCGTCAGTTCATGAACAGTCATCAAGTTAACTGGTTGTGTACTGTCATCAGGCGTCTTTTTTGACTCGAGTCGAGAAATTACCAGCGAATCATCAAATCGAATTCGTCAGTCTAGGTAAAGCCTTTAAGGTAACTAGTCCAGAAATGACAATCTAGTTAGATGGTCAGTCTAGCAACCGCCACCAAGTTAACTAATTGTGTACTGTCATCAAGTTTCTGGACTCCAGTGCAGAAAACCTCTTAAAGTACCAAACGCCTTCTTCGAGTCTCGTCTTAGTCAAATTCATTCAAGGAGATAATTTCCACAAGGAGGCACATTTTTATTTTTCTAATGACTGCATTACCACAACATCAAATAAATAATTCGGTTAACTCTTTAATTTCACTCTTGGATTCCACAAAGTTCCAATTTTTGTTTCAGTGTATCTGAAGACATCTGGATCTACTCTTTCCCTCTAATTCTAATTGTACACGATTTTCCTCTTCGATCTCATAAATTTATTATGAAGCGTCAAATGTCTATGCCAATTCCCAAAATCATTATAACTTAATTTATTCCATTCTATTTATTTATTTTCAACTAATTTCCAAATCTAATGCAAAGAATAATACAATTCCACAATATAAAACTATGTTACTATTCAATACAAAGTTTATAAAACATAACTCGATATTGCTTTCCCCAAGTTTGTTTACTTATTTCTTTACAAAAGAGTAAATGGACAAAAAGAATTGACGGCAATGCAAACGCCGACTCCGGAAATTGTATATTTTCCGTTAACCGTTTTCGCTAAGATTAAAAGTAAACAAGAAACAATTTCACGTACAACATTAAAAAGGAAGCTGACGACAAAACGAAAAGCCCGAGAGATGTTTCAAGGCAAAGAGGTACACTGGAAAAGGATAAGAGAGAAGGGGATTGTATTGCAGAGTTGAAGGGGGGGGAAGGGTAAAAGTGGCCATTGCAGAAATTCGCAATTTTCCCCAGGGAATTGAAAGTAAATCAAAGTTTGAAAGCTTGCCCTTACGCTGTCACGGAAATCGAATGTAATTTATTGCCTTGACGTATACATGCGAAACATTCAGAACTATTTATAGTTTTCATCACAATAAAACTAGATGAATTTTTTTTCAAAACTTACGAGTAGAATGAAAAAGGAATATTATCAGAATAAGTGACAATACAATTCTCTTATGCTTTTAAATTTTTCATATTTCTTTTAATTCGATTTATGATGTAGATTAATATAATGTTACGTATTATAATGAACCACTTCTGTAATATTTGATCATGAATTGTGACATAGGTCGAAAATGTAAATAGGATGGAAATTAAATATTAAATTTCTTTTTGGATTAATCCTGTGATGCAGATTGAATTACATGACATATGAAGTTTACCGAAGTAGATTTGATGGCAATTGCGGTATATTCGTGGAAACCGTCATTGCTTACGAAGGAACGTTTATTCACATGGGGTCAGTACCACAGAGCAAGCAGTTCTATGTTTATCTTGGCAAGATGGTCGGCTTCACTGGTAACGTTCCCTCTGGGAGTACAAATTTCCATCACGTTGCTAGATTCAACATGAAAATATTATAATGCCAGTGGTAATAATTATTTTGAAATTGACCCTTGTTCAATATTGCAGAACTTTATTTCTTTTGTCAGTGCCTGTGAATTATTTAAGAATTTTGATAAAAATAAAAAAAAGATTCATCGACTGCAAATTTTATTTTAAACCTTTAACTGAAATACAATCTGAAAATTGAGATCAAACTGATTGAATAATAAATGATGATTCAGAATACTAAATGAGGTTTAGGTGCTTTGATCAATTAGAGCACCTCGTTATATTAATTAAGCTTGTGGAAATCTCATTTCTCATAAACTGATGCTTGAGTGGTATCACCTAACGTTTTCAGTATAATTCTAACTTCCTGAAAGACAGTTGGAATACAATCTGATATGGCATGAGGCGAAAAGGAACTGAAAGACATAATTACAATGATAATAAAGTATTTTCAGATATAGTAAATAAGTTAATGAAAGGAAACTAAAAAGATATATTTCGCAACTACATTTCTTGGTAAAAATTATAATTTTTTATGAATATCAAACATTGACGTTGATCTACTAAAACAAAATTTCGTATTCGATTGTGAAAAAGGAATTTTTCCATAGAGTTATAAATTTACATACTGAAATGAATAAATACATTCAAAAAAATATTAAAACTTTATAATAAAAATACAAAAAATTAAGCGTAACAGAATTTTTATATCTCTGAATTGTCAAACACATTTCCTTTGCCTGAAAAACCGGGTGAATTTAATATATACTATTTTAAATTCCGCTTTAATGTGAATATTAAAATTTGTGCAAATTACAGGATTTGAATTTTCATCCAAATATCTGGCTCATTCTCATTTCTTTCTGATATATACGTAACGAATTATTAAATATATAATAGTAATAAAAAAACACACTCGAGTTTTTTTGGCTTTCAGTTCAGAATATCATTATATTTTAATATTGTATGTACATTCTGAATATTGAGTTAAACGAAAGTATAATTTTAAAAGTGATAAAAAACGAAAAAAAGTTTAAATTATTTTGTTTGAATTTAGAGAAATGTTTTTCAATATATTACGTCGAACTAAACCAATTATTAATTATTATATTCTCTAGTGTTTCCCGTTTTAATTTTAATTAGTGATTATCAAAATTAGGACGGGGTTTGGTAAATGATCAAGAAATAATTCTATTTGAAATAATTGTGGAATTGAAATGAACGAAATATAGAAAAGATGAAAATGATGCACGAACTTTGTAATAACAAAGTCTAGTGGTCTCTTTACATTGGAACAGCGGGTGGTCCTGCTTAGGTTGCATCATTCAAATAGGATTTTCACAGACAAATTAGCTTCCAAGTAGTTGCAGGTTGACAATTCTGACTTGTGATCCTCGTAAATTATCCTTGTGTTAATTATGAATTCCCAAACTTGAACAAAACTTTCGAATACAGGATTTAGAAAAACTTGGTGTAAAGAACTTTTCACTGGTGTGTAGAAAACACAAAAATATTAGACTGACGTTTAAAAGGACCACTGTTGAAATTTTTAACTCACGTGCACGAGACCAGTTCTTGGCGATGGAAAATTTAGACTGACTTGTACGGAGCATCACTTCTCAATTTGAGACTTATGATACTGACGACTACGTTTTCTTGACTGTCTTGCTGTTGATGGTCTGGCCCATTTTATACCAAAAATTATTCTCGAATTACAATTCTTTATTAATAGTTATTTTTTATTATAATTTGTTATATAATGATTTATGAGCAAATTGTTGGAATTAACAATATGTTAATAACAATTATTTGTTGTTGTTATTATTACTATCATTATTATTTAATATATTTAAATAAATTTAATGATTTTCTTCTACGCTATTTGATTTCAGTTTTCATTCCTTGCAATTTTGACTTCATTGGCTTCTCTGAATAAGGATCATTTTCATCTCTCTCACCTCCTCGCATTGACGAATATCAAAACGTGAATAGGGTCGTGATGAGGAGAATTTGTGTTAAAGCAGATATTAGATTTATGATATACAATTGAATGCTTGCAAATAATGAAGGTGATGGGTTCAAAACATGTTTCTTAATTAGAATATCTTTATATTTCAATACCTCATTTATGAAGACTTCTTATCTTTCTGACAAAGGCAGACAATGTTGGTATATTTTCTTTAAGCTTGTTTTCATAATAAGTTTACAACTTTCAGTTCTCTGATTTCTATTTACTTGTTGACCTAGATTTGTCTTTCAGTTGGAATTTTTTTCCCACAATTGATAAGAATCCAAGTTTTATCACAATTGATAACAAGAGCTTCTCATTCATGATGAGAATGTAAAAATGAATTGTCTGCTTAATTTCTAAGAGTAAATTGGGATTTGGGGAAGTAGTTCTAATTTTGTAGGACAAGAGGGAACAACACACAATTTAAGCAGCGAGTAACTATTTATCAGTAACATTCGCCATATCAATATTGGCAATGTTCCAAAAACTTTATACCGAGCCAAGGAAACCGCCGTGAACTCGTCATCTTTTAATGGCAGCAGTAAAGCCACTTACAGCCAGCTGAAACAAATGAAAACTGCTATCTTTTCACCAACATACAACGTTCATTGTCTCATGAAATAAAATTTCAAGTTTCGCAAAAAGCACCCTCTTTCTAGCCTTAATTATTTTATGGTCCACATTCGACCCAATTGTAACGAGTGACTTTAGAGTTCCACAATATTTAAACTTTAATTACTAATAGGAGTGGTGGAATCGGCTTTGCAGAATGACGTCATCAGTTTGATATAGGGTCCCCTATCAGTCGACAGGGGCCTTTGCCGTATTCGTCAGTCCAGGAAACCTTCAAGTTACCTTCAAGGTAACTAGTCCAGAAATGACCATCTAATCAGATGGTCAGTCCAGCAACCGCCACCAAGTTAACTAGTTGTGTACTGTCATCTTCGACTCCAGTTCCAAAAACCTCTTCAAGTACCAAGAGCCTTCTTCGAGTTTCGTCTTAGTCAAATTCATTCAAGGAGATAATTTCTACTGCGAGGCACATTTCTATTTTTCTAAGGACTGCATTACCTCGACATCAACATCAAATCAATAATTCGGTCACTCCTAGGCTAAGGGGTGTTTTATCTAATTTACATCGACACCTGGACCCCGAACCTTTCACTTTGGCTGGCCCGAAAACAATTTAAGGGAAATCTACTGCATTCTCTGTTTCCGCTAGTCAACGTCATTTCCTCGACCTCACACTAAAGAATTATTTCCTGGGTCAAAGACTCTGACAATATCTTAGAAGGCATCCATCTATAACTTTGATTACAGACCTCATTTAAATTCCGAAATTGATTCCTTACAAATTCCAATTTTGTTTCAGTGCTTTTGGATATATCTACTCTTTTTGCAAAAGGTTCAAATAAATTGTTTTAATATCTAAATTCTGTTACTAACCGTTTCTCTTTTATTAAATTACTGTACGAACAGATTCTTTAAATAAAACAGAACAAAACTTTTACAGTAATAGACAATTAAAATTATTGAATTCCTGTCTCTATCGAGTAAGCAATTTCACATCCGTACAATTCAGAGTGTTGAAAAATTTATTACCCTTCCCCCAAACGACGAATAATAATAATTTTTATTTGATTGCAGGTCTTTTTCATCGAATCGTCTTACTCAGCGGATCCGCCCTTAGTCCTTGGGCTTCAATTCACAACCCTAACGATTTGCATATTAAAATTTCCCAGCAATTGAATTGTACCAGTGAAGATGATGATATCGCAGATTGCATTCGAGATGCGAATCTTACAACGTTGCTAAATCTAGAACTTCCTGAAATCAGGTAGAAAAAAAATTCCACTCTCTATTTCGGTATTTATTATTTGCACATAAAGTTTCCTAAAAAATTCATTGACCCGAATTTTTATAGAAACAAATTTTAAAATACCGTGGATTTCAACTTGAAAGAAATTCAACATCAAAAGATTCTATTGGGAAAATATAAGAAAGAGGGAAAAAAAATTGTATATTCAATGATAAAGGGGGATTCTATTTTCAGTTCCCGGAAAATTTCGAATCAAAGTTTTATTAAAAGAATTTTATCAAATATCAATATTATGGAAATTCGAAAAATTAGTTTAAACAAATTTAGATAATTGGTTCCTTTTGTTTGAAGGTTTGTGCCTCAAATAGGTCCTATTATACCTATTGATCAAAGTAATCCGGACCCTGGACTTGATATGGAACGTGCAAGCGATGCATTCATTGAAGTTCCACTAATGTTGGGAGTCTCAACAGCAGAGTCCTACTTGGATTTTAACACCGAAGACATTCAATATGGTTTCGAGGAAGATCAGCGCAATCGGATTCTGCGCACTTTCATCAGGAACACTTACTACTATCATCTCAATGAGATCTTTTCATCGGTGAAAAACGAGTACACTGATTGGGACAAGCCAATCTTGCACCCCATCAATATTAGAGACTCGACTATGGAGGCATTGAGCGATGGACATACAGTCGCACCACTGATGAGGATCGCATTCTATCATGCAAGAAGAGGGGCCAAAACATACTTTTTTCACTTTAATTACCAGACAAAGGACAGTGATTATCCTCAAGTAAGTTTTTTTTCTCCAATTTTTTTTCGGTTGTAATACATCAATGTCAAATTAAACCTAAAAATAGATTGTCCTGAATTAAAATTGCGATGGATATTTAGTTACGGTAGATCTTATTTTTAATCCTTTTTCAAAACATCGAGTCTAAAGGAAAAAATCCAAGGGGTTATTAAACTATCCTTTTATGCTGCAACAGTTTTTTGTATTAAATATTAAAGTAATGTATTACTTTCAGTTCCTCATGAACTTCCTTATCCTCTGAACCAGATTCATCTCAGCTGCCGTCTTTTTCACTCTTTCCTTTATATATATGACCCCAGGTCACCATTCTCTTTTAATATATATCCTAAATATTTAAACCAGCTTCCTTAACTTCTCTCAAAAAAACTTTTTCCCTTTTTTAAACCAAGCGATTTATCTCCACTTCCTTCCTTCTCACCGCCACCCACATCTCTTCGCCTTTTCAATGCTTAACTATAATATTATTCTATCTACATACATGCCTCTATAACTTTATGATCAATTTTTGTTGTACCCTCTTCCTGTACTCTATTTACAATATCATATCATATCTCCTTACACAAGAGTGTATATGGATTCTTTAGAAATGGTGCAATTTTCCCTTGCTCTGATAAATAACTTTTCGAAGGGAATTCAGACTTGATTAAATTTTTCGAAAAAATATTTCCTGTATAAATAAATGATGATACTTTAGGGTTTTCGTGGAAAATATAATCTAGGGGGGTAATTAAGGAGATTGAGTAAAGGTGAGATGTAACCCTGTCGATAAAGTGTGATTCTAATTTATTAGACTGATTGGGGTCCCCAAGGCGCTAACTATCTTATTTTTAGTGAGACGACAACTAATTTTGGACTGGCCGTTATTTGGACTCCAGAGTCTCTCTGATGAGAATTTTCACCTAATCGTCATCCTAACCATAAGACAATTCATCTTTGGTCCTGACACCCGAATTTATCATTCTTTTGACGACCGTTGGTCGCTATTAACTAATTATGAATTGGGAAACTATAACGAATTGTAAGGAAACGATAACAACAGATATTCGATGAATCCGCTCATCAAAATTATTTTCCCAACACCCCTAAAAATTACCCCCCTTTCGATTTAATTTATCGTTGCAATTTAAAGTGGAAATTCGTCATCTTTAGTTTTAGTGAAGGTGTCAGATTGTAATGTGCAGTCTATTTCAACACACTCGAAGTGAATTTCTCTTTCAGTGGCTTATTCTAATCCGTCTCGTATCAGCTTTAACGTATGTTTAAACGAGAGAGCCGATATCCGATCGCGATAAGTCTTCCAGTAAACGCTGACCATCACTGGATTAAGCAGATCTTGTTTTAGGGCGAGAAGTGGTCGATGCAAATTTGATCACATGCATTTTCCTTGTCCTGGTCGGAACGGGCGGTCTCATCGATTTTCAGCCAAACCAAACTCTCCCCTGCTTCGAAAGAGAAGTGAACTATAGGACGTTAAAGCACATAAAAGAGAGTTTGGACCATAAAGGAAGGTCCGAACACCGCTTCCGGTTTGTCTAGCCAGGAAGAGAGAACGGCGTGTTTCCTCTTTGCTCTATAGATTAGTTGTTCATCAATTTTCCTTGGCAAAGTAACACACCATGATCTAAATTAAATTCCTCTATTTATCATCTTTGATTGACGTTTTTATATTCACTTCCTGTGATCTAGATGTGATCCTAACTGTGAATTGACAATGTTGAAATTTATTAACTCTAAGGGAATATTTTTTTTGTGACTGAAGCTGGAGTTGGCAAACAACATATTGTTATATTCAAACAATACGAGGCAAATGACAATGTTCCCAAGGAGCTTTCAGGAGATTAAACTGAATATGTAATTAACCAAGACGCTCTAACATCCTCGCGAAAGGATGTTCCATTTGGAATTCTAGATTCTCGTCTTGAATGATCAGGAATTATTCTTTCACAAACTATCGAGAGCTGAACAACCTTTTTTCCAAACATTTATAATTAGAAGACGTGAGGAATATAATTGTTCTGAAAAAAATCTAATTATGATAATTGTAATTAGAAAAAATGTTCCTGTTCCTCTTTTTAGTGTTTTCTGAGAAAACTAACGTTCGCGTCTCCTTGCTGCCGCAATTCTAAATTCAAATGAAATTAGCTTTTTCTCTCGCTGTGGCGAAGCCATCTCTAATCTCGAAATCCTTTTTTAATCTCGTGTATGTAAATTGGGGAATGGCAAACACTTTATTCGGATGGAAACGCTTGTAGAAGACCACCGCCAGTAGGGCACGTATTACATACGCGTGCTACGTCTGTCCTAATTACGCTCATTAATTTCCATGGAAAACGAGATTTTGCGTTACCTGATATGCGAGACGAGTGCAAACAAAAAGCAGTCAACTCTAAATGCTGTTATTAAGAACCAACTAAACATGTCATAAACTCCAACGGGGAAAACAGAATTGATCCTTTGATACGTCGAGCGTAAAACTAAAAACAATCGCGGTTTATTTTTACATCTTAACCCTATTAATAGATTTGCTTCCTTGTTAATAATTAATTCAAGTCCGCTATCTTGTTTCACTTCTCAAGAACCTTTCGTTAAAAATTAAAATATAAAAACCAAAGACTCTCTTTGAAGACAAATTTAAAACAACTTTTATAAGAAGGTAATTAGCGGATATTATCCTAGAGTCTAGAAAAACAACTCTTCCTTGAAAAGAAAAATGAGGAACCAACATATTTTCCCTAAATCAGCTTGTCGAAAAAAAATTGTCAGTACTTATTTCCGTTAAGGTAATTTTAAATACCTTACCCACCCGGTAGTTTCTTTTCTTTTTTATTTCCTACACTTATTCTTTCAGCTTTTTGAGGGTACTTAAATCATACAAGACTTGGCTAACTCGTCTAAGTGCTTTCCATAGTAAAAACTTTTTACGATGGAATTATGTCAAAAAGATCTCGTTTTTCTTATTCGTCGCTTGCGGTCAGGTGAAGGTTCTTCAGAGTTAGGCGCAGAGGTTTTCAAGATGGCAGTGATTAAATTAGGAAGCTCGGAGAACCCCGAAGACATTGCATCGTAGTATTCAAGGGGGTGGGAAGGGGGAAACGAGTAGAGGGAAGATAAGAGAGTTTTACAAAACTAGAATTAATCTCGACACTCCCTCTCGTAGTCTCACTTCACCGAAAAGACCGCCCCCTCCTCACATTCATGATCAACGATAAATTTTCCTAAAGTTTAAGATTCAATTAGCGGGACAGATTCTATTAGGCTCCGAGATGTGCTAAACGCTATGGAAAATACTGCTTTTTGGAGAATTAATCCACATGATGCAATGACGAATTTAAAATATTTAAATTGTCAAATTCTACTTGGATTATTGGAAAAAATTTTTTCGGTAGATGTAAGATGGGAGTTAATTAGTTTGTAATTGATGTTCCTAAAAGACAATCAAATATTCATTCCCTCTCTTCATTACTCGTGGAACACTTTGATAACCCTCTGAAGATTAGGAAAGATGATAAGGACCGGTTAATTAATGAAAGGAAAGAGGGCAGACATATTTAGCTTGGTAAGAATAATCCGCCGACAAAGGGATGGAAATTTTTAGTGAAATTTAAAACCGTTAACTTTCTAGTGTTACGTCGCTGTAACTAATAATTATAGTGAATTTTAGTTGACAATTAACAACAAATTGTAACATTGGTTTAGATTGACTCATCAAAACAACTTAAAGGTTGATATTTTAGGAATGCTTCAAAACATCCCACCTCTGCCACTGTTAAAATTAAAAATTTAAAAATCCCACCGCTGCCACCATTAGAGTAACAAAAAGTTCGCAAAGCAGCTCCGGATAACTTTGGTTTAGATTTACTCATCAAAACAACTAACAGGTCGATGTCAGCTCCGGCTAACTTTGGTTTAGATTTACTCATCAAAACAACTAAAAGGTCGATGTTTTAGGAATGCTTTAAAAAATCCCACCGCTACCACCATTAGAGTAACAAAAAGTTCGCAAAACAGTTCCGGTTAACTTTGGTTTAGATTTACTCATCAAAACAACTAAATGGTCGATGTCAGCTCCGGCTAACTTTGGTTTAGATTTACTCATCAAAACAACTAAAAGGTCGATGTTTTAGGAATGCTTTAAAAAAATCCCACCGCTGACACCATTAAAGTAACGAAAGGTCGCAAAACATCTCCGGCTAACATTGGTTTAGACTCACTCATCAAGACAACACATTTCTGTTTCATATCTTACCTTTTAGTTTTCAGAAGGTAGAAATTAACAAATAAACTAATTCAACCAGATTTTCGACTATCAAATCAAGACGTTTGGAAATTGACATGATTTCTCTTTGTCATCAAAGGGAAATGGGTATTTCCAAATTCAGCAAAAGGGGTTTTTTCTCTAGGAGTCTAGAAATTTCTTATTGGGGTCTTTTCTATTTCTTAGAAGTGTTCACCGAAAAAGATGATTCCAAAAAAGCGAAATTTTACAATGAGAGGTAAAAGAGAAAAGGGGAAAATTTTACCGACACTAAAAAGTTCTAAGAAGGGAGAAAGTTAACGAGTGAAATAGAAAAAGGAAAGGAAAGTTTCGCGTGATTAGGAAAAATCAAGGGAGTAAAATTTTTGTCCGTATGATGATAAAGATAAAAGTTGTAAAAATTTCTCTCGCCCTTCTGACTTTTGGGTTTTTTGTAAGATTAAAAAAGATTATTACAAAAGTTAACTTGTGCTTTAGTTGGAATTAATAAAGGTAAGAAAAGCAATGAAAAAGGAAGAAGCAGATGAAAAAGATAAGAAATGCTTGCAAAAAAAGGGATTAAGCAGTTGGATAAGAAGCAGCTTAGAAAAGTATGTAAAAATAAAAGGAAAGGGAATCTTAAAACAAAATATGTTAGAAGTTGGGAGTAAGTAATATATAAAAAAACTTATTATAATACAAGAATAGTTGTAATTATACGAATTATTTTTATTATTATACTATTTTGTTAATTTTCAACTCAAGAAAGAGTATATAATGAAATATTTTATTATTAAAACCCTCAGATGTAAAAGAACTCTGCACCCCCGAGTTTTCTTGCTTTACAATTCAACATTCTACTTTTGCAGCGGCTTGGAAGTGCCCGAGGCGAAGACATACCGTACATTTTTGGACTCCCTTTGGTTTCCGGCGGTCGATTCTTTCCTCACAATTACACCAAGCAAGATCAAAGTGTTGGTGAAGCCATGCTAACATTCATCACAAATTTTGCCAAGACCTCGAATCCCAACTTACCTCACAATATCGAATCGGTCGACTACGGAAATGCCAGAGAGAAAACACGATTTCGAGGTCTTCTTTGGGAAGAATACGATACCAATAACCAACAATACTTAATGATCGGTAAAAATTTATTGAAGATCTATATTTATTACTAGTATATACATTTATTTTTCCACTTTTATTTATACAATTTTTGGATATTTTTCAATTTTCCAAAAAGGAATTAAAACAGATTGTAATCATTATTTCCTTAAAAAAAATTTGTTGGGATTTATTTCTGCAAAAAAAATTGTTAATTTCAATATTTCCATAAATTCACAATCCCAGTATAAAATCAGGTAGAATTTGTAATAAGCTAGTTAATGAACGTATAATAACGTCTTTCCTTCTTGTAGCTCAAAAGCCAAAGATGAAGAGCCATTATCGAGGTCACAAAATGGCATTATGGCTGAATCTAATTCCGCAACTCCATCAACCTGGAGATGAAGATGTATCAATGCGTCATCATCATTTCCGCGAGAAAGGCGATCAGTACTATGCAGGTAATACACATAAAAGTCCATAATGCCTTCACGATAAAAGCTTCTCGAAAATTCTCTGATTTATCAAAAACTATTCATCATCCGCTAGTGTATAAATTGCGGCCCCTAAAAAAAGTTACAATCTTTTATAATTTATTCCAATAACTGAAGCAGAAAATTTATTAAAAATAAATTTCAAAATTTAGAGTTAAATTTTGAAATTTATTTTTGATCGAATTTACTCTCAATTCAAAAAGGGTGAAACGTAATGAAAATCGATTTTACAGATTTATTTTACTATTAAAAAATTTTAATCAAAGCTGAAATTCGGTTTAATTAAAAAATTATTTTACACTGACGAACGGATTTCTGTGAGAAGATTCGAATAAAACTTCCCTGCGGCCTCGCAATAATAATGGTTACATAATAATAACTCAAATTTTTGTGACCCAATAAAAAAGTTAACTTTACATGTTGAACACCACAATGGAATACGCGAGATAGAAAGTACGCTACATAAATTATAGAAATGTTTCATTGTTTTTAAATTGGAAATTTATTCAGACAAATTTATTTAAATACGAATTACACAAATTTTTTTTACCCAAGTCCATATCATTTTCGATGTTGGAAAATAAAACTCCATAAGGGTAAATCTAACAATGCGGTGAAAAAAAAAGTCCGACATATTGAATTCGCCATTTTGGAATTTTTAAAACTAATACTAGATTCTTCGGCCATATTGGATCCGCCATTTTGGAATTTTTAAAACACCCAAAAAACTAACGATTACAACAAATACAAAAATGTAGATTTCCGAAAATTCGCCGGCCACAAATTCTGAAATACTGCTTTTTTTAGTCCACTTTAAAAATTAATATTCAGAGTAAATATTTCATTTCATATACGTTTTCATGTAAATTAACACACATTTATTATTAATAAAAATCATTCTTTAATGCATATCAATTAGAATTTGAGCAAATAAATAAAAGTAAAAAAATAAATATTTATGCGATATATATTTTACGATCGATTCAATTTCGTCAACATTTTTTTATTAAACTGTTTTTATTTGCTCTAGGTTAAAACTCACGGTATGGAAAAAGAGATATGAATCAATCTAAGTAAATATAGTTGTTTTGTTATCCTATACTTCAACACCGTTTGGCGTTCGATATTTGTATGGATATTTCCTCTCATAAAAAAGCACATAAAATGTCAAAGTAGACACGCAAAGTCGCTTTGATATATTGAAAGAGTTCAGACATAAAATCAATTTTACAAATAGAGATAAAACGATGAAATTAGTTTAAATTAAATTCTCCTTTACAAATTGAAATGTCCATATCATTATATTTTATTATATTGTATTACTATTATTATTATTATTATTATTATTATTAGGGGAAACATATTTTAAATTTTGATGGATTTTATTGCGCGCAGTTAATGTCAGATTTTATTATCCGAAAGGGGAAAAGATCGATCAGAATAAATGTCCGTGTGGTGAGAAATTTTTTTTTTCGAAAAAGAAAAGAGAAATTATCACTTGAATGATAAGGTGTGGATTTATTAATTTAATAAACAGCTTCAAGTATAGGATGAAATTTTGTAAACATTTTATAAATAGTTGTAAAATTTTTTTAAGCGAGAATCTATACCCAGTAAAAAAAAACTAATTCAAATGAATTGAAACGAATTAACATTTTTGGTAGGCTCCAATTCGTATTTGTCACAAAGCGGGATTCACTCAAGCTCTTTGTATATTCAATTGAATTTAATTCAATATGTACCAATTTGTCCAAACGAATTCGCATTCGAAAGAAATGGCCAAGGAATGCATTGAATTCGTGCTAACGAATTGAAAAAAATTAAAGGCTCAAAACTTGTCCAGTGAATTGGTACGGATAGAAGGTTCGGAAGTTCAATACAGTTTCACGAATTCAGGAAAATTGCATCATGGCTCCAATTCGTATTTGTCACAAAGCGGGATTCACGAAAGCTCTTTGTGAATTCTTTTTAATTCATTTCAATTAGTTTTCGTTTACTGGGTAATGCAGATTTTCTATATTCAAAATGTCGATTCAAAATTTGTTGACAGTTGATAAAAGTTTCATTCTGTCAAAAAATTATTGTTTAAATATTAGAAAAATAAACACACTTACTCTTTTTTTTGATTATTTAAAGATTGTCTGAAAGTTTCGTGAAACACGTGCAATCGGCATGGGACAAAGTTTTTAGGTTATATTAAGTAATTCATTAATTAATCAATTTAAGGGGTTATGACACTCTAGAGGTCGAAAAAATAGGTGTTTTTGAGAATTTTTTTAAAGCAAACTACGAAGGCAATCACAATAATGATCTGAGGCAACTTTATTGTACATTTATTAAAGTGTAAAAAATATAAATATTATAAAATTTTATTGAAATTTGTGGCGTTGACGCTGATTTTTCTAATCTGGTTTTTGGCGTGAATAAGGGTCCGCGGCCGCACCGTTCGTTCCTGTAAATTTTGAAATATCATAATTATCAAAATTGTTTCTTATTCCTTATTACAATAGCTAAAGGAAAGCGTAGAATTTTTTGGAAATATTGATTTTTGGCCGATTGGCGTACTTCTAAATTTTAGTTATGAAAACAGTCGATTGGCGCATGCGCATCATTTTCGAAAAGTTCGTTACCACTCGGTGAACTAAAGGCCTAATCACAACTGCTACGTGAACGCAAAGCGTGAGGTAGAAAAGGACAGAGATATATTTGTGTCCTTTTCTATCTCATGCGTCTCGTTCGCGAACGACTTTCGCGAAACTATTTTTGCGTTAGTTTTTTAAAGGCCTAAGCACAATTGCTTCGCGAAGAAATTTTGCTTAGGCCTTTAAGGCATAAATCTGGCACCACTATTCCTAGGGGAGACGTTAGATTTCACAAAAGTCAAACTTGTAATTTCAATTTCTATAATTCCAGGTGCAGTACGAGACGAGTGGTACATTCCACCACCCCTACCAGAAACAAGCAAATCAGTAACTTATCCAACAATCCTCTGCTCCACTTCCTTGGAAGATCTCGTAACCGATGATCCATCAGACGTTCTTGACGACAATGAGGATGACGCCGAACTTCTCCAAAGACTCGCCTCCCGTCATTACTACAGCACCACAACAGCCCTTGCAATAACCGTAGGCGTTGGTTGCATTCTCCTTGTCCTCAACATGTTGATTTTTGCCGGAATTTATTATCAACGCGATCGCGACAAAAAACGCGCAGCAATGCAATGCTGTCCAAATAATCAAGAAGCTGTTCCAATGAGTTCACGCGGTGAAGCAAGTCATCATCATGACGATTCGAAAACGGGTCCAGAACCACCTCCCCTCTATACGACACTAACTCGCAGTTCATCATCAGGACTCCCAAAGGATCAACGTTCACCAAGTGATTCAGAACGTCCCGGTTCAAAAGCTGGGCAAAAAGATACAACACCACCGAAACCTCCTGCCAGGACAACGAGTTCCTTGAGTTCGACTAGCGGTACAATTAAGAAACGCGTTCAAATTCAGGAGATATCCGTATAGCATTAGGGGTTGCCCCCAGAGGGCAATAACACTAGATCGAAACACGTCACTTTCGTAGATGAAGAGGCTGTAATTGAGTCTCGATTTTAAATCCGATGATTGAAAGGCAAAAGATTGGAATGTTTCTCCAAAACCTCTAAACTTGTTGTTTCACAATATTGTGGCAATTTTACGGAAGCGCTCATGCGCAAACCCTAGCAAGTGTGCTTGCCTACCGCTCTGAGCATCTCGAAGCAGCTCGGCATGTGTGCATATAGGCACACCTGCACGTGTGCTTTGAATGTTTTGATTGTCATCATTTTTCATAAATTAATAAAAACTAAGTGCCTTATTTAATTAAACTGTTAACAATAATTATAAATATTGCTTAAAGTAATAAATAAAATATATTTTATTGAAAAGCGCTTAATTTAATTTATTTCACTGATTTTTTTTCAAAAAAATTTACATAACCTCAATATAATTTAACATCTACTTGATCTACTTTATGTTAAAAGCAAGAACTTTATTTTGTTTTAAGATAATTCTATAACATTGTTGTTCAAAGTATATAATATAGTTATAATGAAATTTAAAAAATTTAATTTTATTTGTTATGAAAATATTTATTATAAAAAAAAATTATAATACTATAACATGCGACACAATTTTAGATGGAGTTTGCGAAGGAAAAAATAAAAATAGAATACAAAGAGGAAAAGCAATGCATTTTTGTAATTGACAATAAAGTGAAAAAAGCTATGATGGATGGATAATAAATAAATAAAATAAATATTAATAAATAATAAAATAAAATAATAAAAAAAAATAAATAAAATAAAATAAATAAATAAACATTTTCATAACAAATAAAATTAAATTTTTTAAATTTTATTATAATTATATATTATATACTTTGAACAAAAATGTTATAGAATTATCTTAAAACAAAATAAAGTTCTTGCTTTTAACATAAAGTAAATATTAAATTATATTGAGGTTATGTAAATTTTTTTGAAAAAAAATCAGTGAAATAAATTAAATTAAGCGCTTTTCAATAAAATATATTTTATTTATTACTTTAAGCAATATTTATAATTATTGTTAACAGTTTAATTAAATAAGGCACTTAGTTTTTATTAATTTATGAAAAATGATGAGAATCAAAACATTCAAAGCACACGTGCAGGTGTGCCTATATGCACACATGCCGAGCTGCTTCGAGATGCTCAGAGCGGTAGGCAAGCACACTTGCTAGGGTTTGCGCATGAGCGCTTCCGTACAATTTAGTCAATATTGCTGCAAGTTTAGATGCTGTGGATGTTGGTATTGGGATCGTTGGTCTGGTAACAATCTAGTGACTTTGGCCCATTTCGTCCATTTTGTTTTTTCTACTCGTTTAAAGTCCAACGCACAATAGCTTCGCGAAAGTCGTTTCCGAACGCAATGCATTGGTTAGAAAAGGACAGAGATATATTTATGTCCTTTTCTAACTCATGCTTTACATTCGCGAACGACGTTCGCGAAGCAGTTGTGCGTTGGCCTTAAGTCCAACGCGCCATAAAAATTAAAGAAGAAGAAGAAGAACCCAAAGGAGTTAAAAAAGGACAGAAATATATTTTTATCCTTTTCTATCTCATGCTTCATGTCCGCGAACCTTTATAGCCTTTTCTAACCTATTTATTGAGAAGAGACAAAGAAAGAAAATGGAGACAAATGGCGTATTGGAATGAAGCCGATACCAATTCATCACTAGGAGGAAATTCTCATTCTAGGAGGAAATAAAAAGAAAGAAAAGAAATAATTTACAATTCATCCTTCAACTACGAAAAAAATTGATCGCTTCGAAAAGTGTGGATTGTCCTCTGGTGGCAACGGGATAAACTAGAATTTGATGTATAATATTAGTTTCAAAATCGAAGCATGAAATTAAGAAGATTTTACGATGACCATTGTAAAAAAGGAATATAGTGTGAAGTTAAATTTTATTCACATAAGAAAAGTCGTTAGAATCCTCTCGTCAAAAAGCCAAAATACACACGTATTTTGAGAGAATTTAAATATTCGTTCGTTAAATCTTCTTATACAACTTTATGGATCGAAGATAGGACCAGAAATCAAATTTTTAAAGAGAAAATTAATATCAATTATTAGTTTGTAAATATTTTTCGAAACTTAGTCAAAATACCATCTATTATGAAATTCTACGAAAAAAAAAAAAAAACTGTTAAGTCCCGTAAAATTAAATGTATAGTAAACTAACTTAAAAGAAACAATTTCGACCAGTTTTCTTCGGCATATTTGATACCGGTCATCAATGAAAATCTATATTTTGAAAGCAGCTAGGGAAAATATTTAGTGTTTGGAAAAATTGGAGTTCAATTGGCAAATTAGAAATGACGCCATATTTGATCCACCATTTTCAAATTTCAAATTTTCAAATTGAACTCTTGGGATAAAATAATTATTCTGAAACATTTTAATATTTAAAATTTCTTCAAAAGATTTAATTATTTTCAAAATATTTTCGAAATTCAATTATTTTCAAAATATTTTTTGAAATTCAATTATTTTTAAAATATTTTGGAAAATCAATTATTTTCAAAATTTAATAATATTATTTAGTATTTTCCCAATAACCCCGTTTATTTTTAAAAAAAATATGTCAAATTTTCTCGATAGATGGTATACTTTTTTCTTTTTTTTTTAAATGCGTTCTTGGACAATTAATAAATTTTCTCAATTTATTAATATAAATAAATATATATATATATAATTAAAAAAATCAAATTGACCTCTACTCTGACTGAAAATGTGAATATATCAATTTTAAACTGACTCTAATAATAAAAATAATAAAACATTATAAATATGTACATAGTAGTTAGATATATTCCGTAGACTATTAAAAAAAATTTTTTTTTTGTTTACATTAGGAAAAAAAAGAATTTTTTCTTTTCGTTTACGAATTATAAAGAAATTCTTTTGGCAATGTTTATAATATATTATAGTCTTTTCTAAGAACCTTACTTCACGAACATAATCATGATGAAATTATCTGCCATGTATATTAAAATGCAATCAGTGGGGAAAAAAAAGGAGAATTCACTTCATTTGTATATTTCACGTAAAAACAAAAACAATAAAGAATCTTTTATAATAAAATAATAAATAATCTCTCATTCTTTTTATAGGGTGAAAATAAAAATAAAACTGAAGAGTATTTTTTACTCATCTTTTTATTAAACAGATATTCTTTATCTCTAGAGAAAATGATATAAATTTCTCTTACGTACAATAATAATAAACTAAAATTATTATTTTATTTTAATATCAAAAAGCTATGTGTTGTTGTTGTTATTTATTCTTATGACTCAATTTTTCACAATCTATTAATTAAAGAAAGTCTCTACAAAAAAAAAGGAAATTGTAAAACAATTTTACGTCAGCAAAATAAAAAAATATCTTTCTACTCCAATCGGATATTTTTAAAAAAATAATCTTCTTTTCAGTAAATAAATTCTATTTTTTTCTGACACTGTATTTAAATTAATGAGTCTGTGAAAAATAAAAAAATATACAGTAAACCACTGTAAAGAAACGACAGTGTGAATAGTATTCTTAGAAAATATAAATTTTTCTCTTTATATTTTTTTCGTATTATTTAAACAGCTTTCTTCTTTGAGAAAATTTCATCTCCATGGTCGCCGCCTTTCCTCTTCTGTCCTCTTTGGAATCGATCTTGAAAAAAAATATTTGTCGATTTTAGCAAATTTTTTAGAATTGAAAAAAGAATTTTTTCAGTGAAAAAAAATCAGTTTTGCTTTCAAGTTTTTCAACTCAGCGAAATCCTAAAGATTCCTCAGTATTAGCATGGCAAATCATCATTTCTTTTTTAAATTTTTATTAATTATAACTAAGGGGAAAATTACTCACTTTTTTTGCCTCCCTTAAATTTGTTATTTCTGAATTTTGATTTTCGAATATTAGCCAATTCGGTGGCTACTTTCGCTAAATATTCAGTTTCCTCATCGCCTTCAAGTACTCGAACGTTTGCTGAACATTCTCCAATTTTCAACTAAAAATAAATGTTTTTAAATTCGAATATTTTTAACTTAAAGTAGTTTTTTATTCGTAACTAAATATAATTTTTCGATGAAGAAGTAATATGATAAAAATTATAATTACAAAATTTATAGTTTTCTTTTATTTTTGTATTAAAAATTGTAGAAAAGAAATAGTTTCGCTTTCCTCTTGACTACTATAGGGAATTAATAATTTATTTACTGGAAAAAAAGAGAGAAATCGAGTAAAAAGAATTAAAAAAATGTTACTAACTTTTCCTTCCTCCAATTTCTCGAAAATAGTCTTGGCTTCATTTTCGTTTACAAGACGAACATAGCCACTTTCTTCTCCCCTCGAGTAATCGACGAAAGCAACATGACCATCTAATTTGACCAAAGCTTCTTTGATATCCTCCCTGGCTCCACTTTCTATTCCAGAGAGATGGAGAATCGAGCCCTTGGGTAGACTGCGAGTTTCTTTCTCCTTTTCGGCAACGACTTCAGTTTTTTCCTTTTCAAAAATAAATTCGGTCATTTTTAACTTTTTAAAAATTATTTTCAAGATTCAATTCAATTATTTTCTGAAATTGTTAACTAAAATTCTTCGCTAAATCAAGTATTGTTTATAATTTAAAAAAATTTTATTTCAGAATTAAATTATTAATAAAATAATGTTCACTTATTAAATTTTTAACTAAAATTAAAATTAGAATTAAAAAATTGAAATTAAAATTGAAAGTCTCAAAAATTTCAATTTAAAACGTTTTGAAAAATGCAATAATAAAATTACCTCATTTCCGTCAGAGTTTTTGTTTCCCTTTTGAGAGCCCTTCTTCTGACGTCTTTCGTCTCTTTCCTTTTGTTTCTCTGCATTGTAGTCAACCCTAAAAATAATAAATTTTAAAACACGTTTTCTTCACATATTTCAATAAAAAAGTTCTGAAAAAAAGTAAATTTTAGTAAAAACCAAATTCAATCTCATATTCTACAAATAAAAATTCTAAACTATAGAATATGAAATTGAATTTACTTTTAACTGAAATTTTACTTACATTTTCTTGAGTACAAGAAAGAAAAAAATACTATTTTTAATAACTAAGACTTACGCCCATTTTTTGATGAGCTCTGTTTCCTCATATTTAACTCCCTCCTTTTCCATGAAACTTTTAGCCGCATCGAGGGTTTTAAATTGAACGAAAATCGATCCCTTGAAGTGCATTTTCTTCTCCTTATCTGCATATTTTCTCATCTAGAAAAATGATTTTTGTTAAAACAATAATTTAAACTTAAACTTTAAATTTAAATCCAAATTTTTAAATAATTTAAACTGTCAGATATGTTAAATTTAAATGTAAAATTTAATAGTGAATGTTAGTTGAAAATATAAAAATACTTACGTAAATATTTTCAATTGGTTCATAGGGTACAAAATAATCTTTAAGAATATCAATGTTGATGCCCTCGAGTGGAAAACCTTTGGCATAAACTGTCCTCTCCTGTTGGCTTTTTCTGTAATCCTCATCATAAACAGGTAATGGATGATCGAGGGATCGTCGAATTTTTTTTTCATCTTCTGAAACCTCAATAAGTTCACTGCTCTCAAGAGCTTTTACAATTGTCGCTGAATCTTTGCTCAATGCGGCTAATAATTTGAATTTCAACATCACATCCATTGGAACCCAACCGTCACTCAATTTTGTCTGTTCAATTAGAAACTTGTCCTTTTGCATATTTACGTCGCCGAAATAAAACTGGAAAAAAATATCAAAATATCAAAAAGACTGCAAAAATTTAAAAAAAAAATATTTATTTTAATTTAATTATATTTTATATTATTTATAATAATCAAAATAAATAAATAAATTGAATTCTTGCAACGAATTTTATTAAAAATTTATTTAAAGAATTGAATTTCTGTAAAGAATTCTATTTGTGAAAATAATTGAATTTCGGAGAAAAATATTATTTATGAAAATAATTGAAATCTGACGAAGAATTTTATTAATTTTTTTTTTTTAAATAATTGAATTTTTGTGAAAAATTTTATTTTTTAAAAGAATTGAATTTTTGGAAAGAATTTTATTAAAATTTTTTAAATAATTGAATTTCTCAGAATTTTGTACAACTTTTTGAAAATAATTAAATTCTATCGAGGAATTTTTATTAAAAAATTGAAAATAATTGAAATCTGAGGAAGAATTTTAATAATTTTTTTTTTTATAATTGAATTTCAGTGAAGATTTTTATTATTTATAAAGATAATTGAAATTTTGATGATAAAATTTTCAAAATTCCCGCCAAAAGTTCTCGATCGGTAAACCAGTCGACAGTGTGATCGACAAAAATTGCAAAAACGTATTTTTCATAGAAAAGAAAATCGTTACTTAAATTTTATCATTTAATCCAGTAAATTAAAATTTTACATTCGAAAATAAAATTAGAATAACAAGTTATCAAAGTAGAAAAAATTTTTCTTATAAAATTGTAAGAGAAAACTTCTCTGCTACATTTAAGAAAAAAAAATTCACATACCTCGATTTGTTTTTTAATTTTTCCTAAAAGTTCCGGTGTTGCTTCGACAGTTTCAGATTCCTTTTTCTCCTCATGACTATCACCATTTTCAGCTTCTTTAACTTCAGTCTCAGCCGGTGTTTCTGATGTTGTCTTAACCTCTTCGGTTGTGGCGTCATTTTTTTCCTCTGTTTTATTTGTTTCTTGACCGTTCTCCATTTTGTTTATTTTAAAGACAATAATTGAAAAATTTTCTCAATCAACTTATTACGGTGCAAAAATGTAAAAAATTATTTATTTAAACTCTGTTTTTCGTGAAAGTAGAGGAGCAAACGTTCTACACGTGCTGAGGATGATGTGGAAATGGATAATTTCAATCATATGCGCATGCCCTTGTTTATTTAAAGTGGAAATGACGACAGTCGACTCTCGACTACGCTAGTCAGACGAGGGGGTTTTTATTTTATAGACTTTTTAAAGGTGGGTTCACACTGCAGGAGGTTTAAAGATTTTAAGGTTGAATCACATGATTGCTAATAAATGATCACGTGATTTACTGATTTATTTGCGATTTTGCGCATGCTACTTTTCATGACTCTTGTCAACTCTTGTTTACATTTTCCTGATGTACAAAAGGTACAAAAGTTTGTGTTTTTTATATTTTTCCCATATTTTATGCTTTTGAGTCAAAGTAATTATTATGTAAGTATTCTTTTTATTCATGACATATTCGTTTGTTTTTTTAAACAAGAAAATATATATTTCTTTCGAAAAACGATGAATGAATATTCTAACCTAAAAAACAGGTTTTCTTTTATGAAAATGTATTTTTTTATAGAATTCTCTGTAAAGTATTTAAATGAAAATTGTTTTTAGATACAAAGATGACAAAGTGCTTTGTAAAAGGATGTGATTCTTCGGCATATATCCGAAGAAATCAAGAGAGTAGGGAAAAACGTAGTTTATTTCGTCCTACGTCTGTGAGTATTTTGTTTGTAAATTTAACGATATAATTTGGAGAATTTTTGAAAAGTTAAAAATTGAGCCTCCCAATTCAATTATTTTCAATTATTTTTATAAATTTACTGAATTTATGAAATATGTGAAATAATGTCTTAGGATGAAATGTTTCAACAATGGAGAAAAGTTATTCCTGGTGGTGAAGGTTTCCAAAGAAAACACTCAATTTGTGATCTTCATTTTTTTCGAGAGGATATTATTAGCGAGTACGTGGAACATTGTAGTCCTCAATTGACACCACATTTATACATGAAGCCTATCAGACTTCGTTTAAAAAAGGGAGCTGTACCTTCGGTCTTTGGTTTTCATAAAGAATCGTCGCCTGTAACAATAAAAGTTGAAAATAAAGATGAAGAGCCCGAAATAATTAGTGATGTTCCCCTGCCAATGTCTGTGACGATAAAAGAAGAAATTAAAGAAGAAGAAGAAGAAGAAGAGACCGAAGTAGTTCCTAATGTTCCCTCACGTATACCGACTGTAACAATAAAGGAAGAAATTAAACAGGAAGAACCCGAAATACTTCCCGATGTTCCTCTGCGAATATCAGGAATATCATTAAATAATCAACTTTCAGAAGTAACTGATTTTCAAATAATTCGACAAAAAAGTGATTCAATTCCAAAACCTTCCTCTTTTTGGACGGTGAGAAATACTTCTGAAACTATTGTCTGGATTTGTTGGAGTATGAATTATATGAAAGCTTTTCGTAAAGTTGTACTACATCCAGACATGTCTATTAAGGTACAAGAAAAACTTTTTATTAACTATTGTTAAGTCATCGTAACATATTTTTAATAAACAATATAAATAATCAATAAAATAATAATAATGGGAGCTACAATTATATTGTAGTACAATTATATTTTAAGTATATTTATTCAATATTTAGAGAAAATCTAACTAAAAAATTTTCCGCAGATATTTGTTGAAGATCGTGAAATGAATGTTGAAGGTTTACATTCGGTTGAGAACATTGGTGATATAGTGAAACTGTTAAATAACGTTTCTCAATTGTTACCATGTTTTAAAAAAGGTGTTCGAAGGTTTGTAGCGCATTTATAATTTATATTTGTTGAATTTTATTTTTATTTTCATAATTTTATTTTATAATATTTAGAATTTTTATAATTTTATAAATATGTAAGTACTAAATTTCTTATATTAGAAAAGTAATTTTAATTCGAAATTTTTATTTTTCAGGTCCAAGGATTGCATTGGATATGTTGTACAAAAAGATATACGGAAAAAAGGACCTCAAATTGAAATTTGCGAATGTTGCAAAAAATATCGACGAAAAGTAACGCGTCGAAATAACGAAAATAATTTTAAAACCAAAAAAAATATAATATTATTAAATAAAAGTCGAAAGATGTGAGCAGTTGGACAAAGAAAATTTAAGGAGAGTTACCGACAATTACCTGAAAAAAAGAGTATTAAAATTTGGGAATTGGCTCGAATTTCAAAAAAAAAAATCATTTTATCATTTTATCAATAAAAATACGGTTTATAGAACTGAGATTGGTTTTTCTCTAATACCTCACAAAAAAAATTTTTGACCATGTGAATTTCCTAACGAAATTCTCGATTTCGCTTTATTAATTAAAAATAATATATTTTCATAGTAATTGCTTCGATTTCTGATTCACCATCAAATGATTTATGCTTTTGGTAAGTTCTGATATATGACATAAAATAGTTATTGAATAAAAACGATTTTAAAAAAGTGCAAAATTTAAGGTTACAAAATAACACTCTGCGATTCCAACTTCTGATTAAAAATAAAATTTTCAAAAATTAAATTTTTGGAATAAGTAATATTAAGGTTAATGGAATCAGGAAGTCTTCTAGTTTTACATATTTTGAAACCAGATATTTTCAAAATATAGCCGTAACAGCCCCCAGACGAAAGTCAGTGGTCAGGGTGGTCAGTGATTCGATAATTTAATTTATAAATATTTAATGTAATAATAATATGAAGCATTTAATTTTTTTTAAAAGACTTATAAATAAAAAAATAAAGTAAACTATTTTTAGAAACAAAAAACAAATCTATCAAAAAATCTGTCGGTAGAAAAATTGAGGTTATAATTGTGACTGACGTTATAAAATGTAACAAACGTTGAGGTCATTGATATGATGGTTGGGGTAGCAATTACGTACCCATATCTCTGATTTGAATTTGGGACAAAATATAAAGCGTGTGTATGTACCTTTACTCCGTCTCAAATTTTTTAATTTATTAAACGTAGTTATTTTTTCTACTCTACTGATTGCTTAATATATTCTTTTTTTATAAATAACCTAGAGTACGAGAATGTTTTCCATATTTTGTTGAGTATAAACTTGAATTTATTTTTTCCGAGAACGGAAGTCGTGCATTTGACTTGTGCGGTGAATTAGTGAGACTTGATTGGTTACACCTTCCTGATTGACGAGCACTTTTCTTACTATTTCTTTCTTTTACCAGTTCGTGTAGACGGGTGGCTGCCTTGTTTAGTTTTAGCTCTAAAATAATCTCTCTCAATCTTCCAAAATGAGAATTTACAAAGATCTTTTCACCGGTAAGTTGATTCAAATTTTCTTCTATTTTCAGTATTTTTCAATAGTTTTCACACTATTATGTTTAATCGAAAGTTAATTTAATTCTAAAACATGAATTGACATATCAGCGTTTTTTCCTTTTTTTCCCAACTTTCAGTTATATTTTTACGTTGGATATAATTATTTTTATAAGTTTTCAATAATCGAAGGCTTTGATTGTCTTTTTTCGAAAATTTTTCCTCAAAAGTTTGGTATTTTTGTAACATAACCTATTTTCGCTACTTGATTACTATAAATGGAAAAGTGACAGATTTTTATAATTTACTGCTTGAAATTTGACTGTGGATACATTTGCAATGTATTATTATTTCAGTGGCGAATTATCAAAAACATGTTCTAATTTATTCTGCTTAATTTACGAAATTTAAAATACTTAAAAAAATTTTTTTTTAACTTTTAAACTTTTTTCATATAAAGTACATTTTTAAGGTGTAAATATAATTTTAATAAATAATTCCAGTCAAATTTTGGAGTAGGCTAAATTTATTTAATAAAAATTTTTGCCAAACTAAGTTCAAGGTCTTTTCTTTAATTTGATTTTTTAAAATTAAATTTCATTTTCTAACATAACCTCAGCATATGGTTGAGTTTTATAATATAACTCGATATTCTTGATTTTTTCCAACACAGCATCGAAACTTTTCTAAAAATTTATTAAAGATTTACTTTTGCAAACTTCGAAGAATTTACTTGCAAAGTTTAGTGAAAATTGTGTAAAAATTTAAATGTCCCACTTAAATAAATGTTTATCGTCAAACTTTCCCGAGCATTTAAATTACATTTTCGTCTAAATAGATTTGGAAATTTAATTTAAATTTTCAGGAAAGTTTCACGCTAAACATTTATTGAAGTGACATTTAAATATTTATGCAATTTTCACTAAACTTTAGAAGGAAATCTTTAATAAATTTTAATGAAATATTCGGCGCTGTGTGGGTTTTAAATTTTGTTAATTTTTTTTTAATAAACATTTATTGAAGTGGGACATTTAAATCTTTACACAATTTTCACTAAACTTTGCAAGTAAATCTTTAATAAATTTTTAGGAAAGTTTCGGTGCTGTGTGAGAACTTAAAACTTAAAATTTGTGTTAATTTCTTTTTAATTACCTTTCTTGTTGAAAATTGAATATTGAAAATAATTGTGTATTTCAGGAGATGAAATGTTCTCTGACACCTACAAAATTAAACTCATTGACGAAGTTTTATACGAAGTCTATGGAAAGGTGAGAAAAGAATTTTTTATAATTAAAAATTGTTTGTTTCAATAAAATAATATTTCAACTATTTCAATTCAATAAAATTTTAGTTTAAATATTCAAATAATTGAATTATGTAATACGAACTGTTAATTAAAATTTTTAATTTTTTACAGTTAATTACACGAACTGAAGGCGAAATTCATCTCGCAGGGTCGAATCCTTCAGCAGAAGGTGGCGATGAAGGAAGCGATATGAACTGTGAGAGTGGTGTAGACGTTGTTTTAAATCATCGACTCTCAGAGTGCTTTGCATTTGGTGACAAGAAATCTTACACTCTCTACTTGAAGGATTACATGAAGAGGTGGAATTTTTATTCTCTCTATTTTGCAAATTACTTATTTAAAATATCACCTATTTCATTTTTTTAGATCTCTTTTCAATCTTTTACTCAACAATATTTTAAAATTCTACCAACAAGAAATTGTTAAATTTTTAAATTAATTTTTTAATAATAACTTAAAAATTCAAAAAGAAAAAATTTTACTACACATTAAAAATATTTTAAACATTTTACAAATTTTTTCTTTATGAATTTTTAAGTTATTATGAAAAAATTGATTCATATATAATCAAAATTTACTTAAAAATTCAAAGAGAAAAACGTTTTTCAACATTTTTAATTTGAAATTAAATTTGTTCTCTTTGAATTTTTAAGTTATTATCAAAAAATTGATTTATATAATTAAAATTTTACTTAAAAATTGATTTATATAATTAAAATTAACTTAAAAATTTATTTTGTATTATTAAAATTTACTTAATAATTGGAACTATTTCGCAGATTAATAGAAAAATTACAAGAGAAGCACCCAGAGGAAGTAGACAAATTCAAGACAAACACAAGTAAAGTGGTGAAGGAACTTATGGGCCGATTTAAGGAATTGCAATTCTTCACTGGCGAATCAATGGACATCGATGGAATGGTCGCCATGTTGGAATATCGAGACATCGACGGACAAAGTGTGCCTGTACTCATGTGCTTCAAACACGGACTTGAGGAGGAGAAATTCTAAGAAAATTTTAGATAATGAACTAATTAATGAATGAAACAAATTTTGTAAGTTCATTTTGGTCATTTAAACAAAAAAAAAAATGCAAAACCAAGAAAACTTAAAATAAAATAATAACTTCACACATGATAATTCGTGGCCCGCTCGTCAATTTATGGAGCTCGTCACTGCACAATCATGTAATATTAAAAAAAGAAAATCGGCTGTCAGATTCACGCTGCTTAATTAATTCTTCTTTCGCAGCGTCTATTTTCATCCGAACAAATAATTTTCGAAAATTTTCATTTTATTTTCAAAAAAAAATAAGTAGATACTATTCTTTTTTTTCAAGTGCTTCCGGAATTGAAATTCTAATCCAATTGTCAATAAATTGTCAACTAGGCAATAAATAATTCATTTTTTGAAAAATGTAAATTTATTTTTGAAATCCTTTTACAGATAATAACCGGAAATATGAAGACTGTACAGAAAACCGGAAAAATATGAGGATTTTAATGTATAAAAATTTAAAATGTAGCCGCTTCCAGTGACTCGCGTGCACGATTTATTTATTTGTTTTTCTTTTTTTTTAAGGACCGTTTTTTTTAATTTAACGAGAAGCAATGTTGTGTATATATATGTATTTAAAAGAAAAGAAAAATACGAAGAAGAAAGGCAAGGAAAATTCAATGTAAAATGTTCTTTCTTTTATTTTTTTTCTTTTAATTAGATTTATATAAACCAACTTTATTCGATCAAATTTGTTTTGTTCAAATGTAAAAGACATGTTTCTTGTGAGATTTCGAAATGAGAAGATGCAAAAAAAACATTATTTATACTGATATTCGACGTATGTTTCAATTTAAAAAAAATAAATTTTGGTTTTCCGATAAATAAAGTAAAATGTTTTAATAAAAAGAAAAGACATATTTTTTACCTTCCATTTGACCTAAATTCAGAATAAGCGATTGATGAATTATAATTGGGAGAATTTTTTAGAAATTACAAATAATTGTAGAAATTATTAATTATTTTCTAAAATTATAATATAAATAAAATTGTTGACAAAATTTCAATTTTCAAAAATTTTCCTCAATTCAATGATTTTTAATAACAACTATTTTCAGAATATTTTATAAAAGATTTCAATTATTTAAAGAAAATAATTGAAAATTGTACCCAAACATTTAAGAATTTTCATAAATAATAAAAGATTTCACAAAAATTCAATTATTTACGAATTTAAAAACAAATATTTCTTCACAATAATTCCATTATTTTTAATAAATAATAAAACTTTTATTCCATAATTTCAATTATTTTTACTACAATAATAATTGAAATGATGAAAAATGTGATTATTCTTAAAAATTTTATATTAGAATTCGTCGAAAGAATTTAATTGTTTTCATATTTGTAAATAAATTGTAATAATAAAAGATTAACAAACAGTAATAAATAAATATAAACAATAATAAATTGTAATAATAAATATTAACAATAACAACAGAATTATAATAATAATAAATTAGGAAATTATAACATATAATGAACAAATAACATAAATTATAAATAAATTGTAATAACAAAATTATAAAAAATAACGTATGAGTTATACGGAATGGACTTAATTTGCTTAAAAATCCAATAATTACACAATTTATTTTTAAAAACAAATTATATTTCTCATTTACAATACCTATTGTCTCGAAACATCAATATAATGTATACAAATTACATTCAATTCCGTCATTTTATAAATTCAATACAAACTCTAGTATATCTACATACATAAAATATAAAACGCAATATCTTGCTTTTAATACAAAACAATCAAACATATTTTCATATAAGTAACTTTTCTTCATGTCACACCACAACAAATGAAAAACTTTGCCTTAACACGCCTGATTTTAAATAAACAATACAAAATTTCATATGTGAGATTGCTTTATTTTTTAATAAACAAACATACATTTGCACATTATATTTACAATTAGACGAAAATATTGATTGGAAAATTCTTGAAAATTCTCAAGCATGGCTTTATTCAAATTTTTACCCTATTAACATTCATTGCCCTAACAAAAGAATATCTCAAAACGTTATTCGAAATAATGGTATTTTGCAAATAGAACCTGAATGTATCATTGAAACAAATAATTCAGACTCTATTTTTCCCAACGCATAAGTAAAACACCCAATACACTTCTTACATACCAACATTAAAAAATCTAAATTTTTTTAAAGAAACTTATCCTACATTATTCAAATTAATTGACAATTTTATATTATCAATAACAGAGTATTAATTCTTTCTAAAATGTCTTTTACTATTGTTATTAATTTTAATAATTCTTTTAATAGGACTAAAATCTAATCCCTTAATAAGAAAACAATATACTATAATATAAAAAACTCACCAAAAACACGTTTCATTACAAAATCGTTCACCACAAGAATGCATAACATTACATGAATCTCCAGTATAAAATTAATAATAAATCTGAAACACAAATTAATACAAATTATAAATTTTCTTTTTTTCTAAATAGTATTATAAAAAACAATATAAACATAAAACACTTACTCTTTTTAAAACTGCACTTTTTTCTCCACTTTCAGAAGGTAAAAATATTTTAAACCTAGTCCCATTTCTAAAAGTAAAAGGTGCATCAATCCATTATTACCATTATTATTTTTTTTATTATTATTTATTTATTATCCATTATTCCATTATTATCCTCCATTCTGCTCGATAATAACATTGATTTCTGATGCCATTGTCGATCTGGTACTCCTACTAAAAGTTGACCAGAAATAAGGAAACCTTACTTTTAAACCCTTATCCAGATAAAAGAAAGAAGGTTGTCCTAAATATCTCTTTCCATTTTCTTTATATCGAACTAATTCTATGTCTACCTATAAAAAATAATAATAATATATATGGATGTTTATATAAATGTGTGAATATATAAAAAAATATCTACACATTTGTGTAAAAAATAAACTGATAAATTTTTTACTTACAACTTTAAGACAACGATTTCTCACTATAAAAAAAGTCTTATCCATCAGATAAACTCCTTTTGAATTATCCACCTTTATCAGATCCACAACAGTTTCTCTTAATTCATTTTGTTGTTCAATTGCAAAAAAGCAGTATCAACAAGTTCAATTGAATCAGAAAACGAATCAACATTTTCTAAAATATTTTCAAAATTATTTGAGGACATTTCGAACATTTCTGTCTAAAACTCAAAAAGAAACTGAACAAATGCATAAATTCACCTTGTCTTACTCCCTCTACCTTTTTGCCTTTTTCGCTTTTGTCAAAAGAAACACCCCACCACAGACCTAAACCACAGATAACGTTAGAAAAGTATGCACAAATGTTATACAAATGCATAACCCTCTTCTCATGCTAATGAGAAGAGGACCAACTTTCACTTTCAAAAAGACAAAATAGGAAATAACTTAGTCGAGTCAAATAAAATTTTATTTTAGTTGCATGTGTAAATTTTAAATATTATATTTAAAGAGTCAAATATTGTATATTGTATATTGTTTTTTTACTCATGTAGAAAAAATTAATCCAGTAGATAACAGAAAAAGCATGAACTAAAAATCTTTAAACAATTGCCACTTGTTCCATTGAACAAGACGAAAATTACATTGAAATTAACATTGAGAAATTACAAAACAAAAAAGAAACTAAGAGAAAATTAGCGGAAATAATGTTAATACGATTAAATGAAAAATATGATTTCAATAATAAAAAGTAAGATATAGACATTTGGAGTGACAAAATTCAGCTGATTAAGTGGAGTAGTTCTTGTCAAAGATGTTTTATGAGATATCATACAGATGACAATTGCCTTAATTATAAGAAAAATAATAAACATTATAGAGATCCAGACGAAATCAATAAAAAATAAAATAACAAATATTTAAGTTAATTCTCGGACAATAAAGTTATATTCACCTCAAATATCTAAATAATTTCAAATCATGTATAATAATTAAATTCACTAATTGTAATTTCATAAAGAATCAATCTAACACATTGTATCAATTAACATAACACTTCGATTTTAATAAGTTTGATCATTTATTTAACAATAATATCAACTAAACTATGGAAGGATTTAACTCTATACTCAATCATTAAATTGTTGATAAAGTTCTTTAAGAGAATTAAATTTTAAGAAAGATTCACAAATTTAATTAATTATTTATTTTTCTATTTCAATAATTGAATTCTTGTTCAATTTTCTCATAAAAATAAAAAATTTATTTAAAAATGAATTTCAGTTAAAATTTTAGATAATAATTTAATATTTTGCATTATAGCATGAATTTTCATAAAAAATTTAATTTTTTTATGGAAATAAGGGAAATACCGAATGACCGAATCAACTAGAAAAGAGGGAAAGTAAAAAAAAATTCTATACAATCATTTTTTTTTGTTTCATAAAAATATTATATTTAGACAATTGAGAATAGACCATCTATTTATGCTCATAAAATACACTGGTCAATTTTCGTGCTCTTTCACATTTCATCTTTGCATTTCCATAATTTTTCAATAATTTTTAATCGTTCTTTCTTCACTTTATTTTTTTATGACACGCTTCCTCTTCTAATCGGTGTTTTACAATATTATTAGCAGCGTATACATATATATTACTTTTACCATCATCAATTTCCATCTATTATAATTATATTATAACTTATAATTATTAATAACAAATTGCGCTTTAATTAATAGAATATAAAGCATAAATTCACAAAAATCTTATATGCGACGAGATATCTCTCAAACAAATTTTTTTTAACAACTTTATATTTTTTAAATTTTTATAAAAAGAAGGGGACGATATCTCGCAATATTAAAAGTAAAGTAGTATCTCTAATTTAAATAATTATTTAATTAACTAATTATTCATTATAATTAGATTATGAATTAATAATTATCAAATCTTTATTTTATTATTTTTAGTAAAGTTATTTAATTATTTTTCGAGTCAATAAATTTTTAAATTGGAGTAGTCGAAAGTGTATTTATTATACATGAACTTTTTTTTAAATCTTAAAAATGTCAGCAATTTAATATATTTATATTATTCTTTTTTTACAACGAGCACAACCATTTACGAAACGAGATTTTTATAAAATTCGAATAAATTTTTTCTGATGAAACAATTTATTAATTTTTTTCTAATTTCAAAATAAATAAGGTGTCGGATGCTGAAGAAAGGTGCCTAAGAAGGAAAGTTTCAAAGAATTTTAAGGTTACTTTTAAATTAATAAAAACCTTCTGTGTTTCATTTAAAACTAAAATCAACTTCTCTTAATTATTTCCTATTTATTGAAGATTTAAATTCCTTTTATTTTCATTTAAAAAATTACAAACATAACCTTAAAATTCTACCTTTCTTCGGAGCGAGTCACATTTATAATATTTATTAATAAATATAAGATTCAGAGTGAAATTTGTAATTTCTGTTCAAAAAATTAGCGACTAAAAATTTTATAATTATTTCATTAGAAAATTATTAATAAATTCATTATTTTTTGAGAATGTTTCTTATCGAACCTGAGGTCAAAATGACCTAGAGAACTAAAATTTGGTACACATTTTTTTCGGTAGTTTTTTTATTAAAAAATCACTTTTCATATAGACAAAATTAAAAATGTGAAACAAAATTCGAAAGTATTAATTTTTTGTGATTAGGGAAGAAAAATATTTTTGTAGTTTCTAAGTAACTCTTAGTAATAAGTTTATACTCGTGTCTTTGTTTAACGAGATTTATATCATCGAGCGTTCAAATATGGCTTCGTTTTGCCAAATTTTTATATATATTATAATTTGAATATATTTTTAATTATGCGAGATATATATTTTTTTATTATTATTTAATATTAATTGTACGATAATCACGTACAGAAATAGTTAAACATCGGTTCCACGTCTTGAATTATTTTTTTTTTATTTTTGAAAGGTACTTTATTTCAATTGTGTATCATAATATATTATATATATATATATACTCGTTAAGTTGGCTGTGCCATTCAATTCTCTTTTTCTGTTACCTTTAAAATCTCATCATTTGTACTGTTTTCCATGCTAGGAAACGAGGCGTTACGAATTTTAATTTTTCTTTGAAATTATATATAAATAAAGAAAAATTTTTTTCTTGAAAAATTCAAAGTTAAACACTAAGTACTTATTATTTTTATTTATTTATTTTTTTTAATTCGTTTTTTCTAAATTCTTTTTTAATTAAAAAATTTTTTTTTTTTAATTTTATTAATTAATTTTATTAACAAAATTGGATCGGCAGCTCAAAAAATAAGAGAAATTATTTAAAATTTCAAAAAAATTTTAAAAAATTAGAAAAAAATTGTTTGTAAAAGACAAAAAAAAATTTGATATAATTTCTGAAATTGACTTTCAACGCCTCGTTCCTGATTTTTATATGACATTTTTAACAAGTGTGACGCAGCTATATTTATTAATTTGAGCATTACAACAATGGTTTTCTTTTCCCTTATAATAATTATTATTATTATTTTTTTTATTATTACTATTTAGGTATATTAATTATACTCCAGAAATTATGGCAGAAGCATGGACATTCGAATTAGGATCGAAAATTTCAGATTATCATATTGCGCTAAAAAAAAGTGCATTCAATATTCATGATTTTTATACATCTACGCATTTCGAATTTCTCGCTAATATTTAAAATCGAAATGACAATAATTAATTGAATGCACTTGATTGTTTTTCGGTGATGCAATATTTATTCTCTCCATTATATTTCACTCAACACTATTTTAATAGAAAATTAAATTAATGTACTTTACTTTTTTTTGCAACTAATAGTATTTTTTGTGATGATTAATTTTTATATAAAAATAATTTGTTTATTAAAATGAAAAAAGTTTTTTTATTAAAAGAATTTTTAAAAAAATTAATAAAAATCCAAACTTTGTTTAATTTGATTTTTAATTTTCAAAATTTTTCTGTTTTATAAATTAAGAAACTTAAGACATTTCGCAAAAAAAATTAACTCAATTTTTTATAAATGTGGAATACTGAAAATATAAATATATAAAAAAAAAGTTTTTGAGTAAAATATAATGGAATGTTTATACACTTTTTTATCTGTATTTTTGACGACAAACAGTCATCAATATTGGATTCATAAAGACGATTCTATATTCATTAATAGTTCGACATTTAAAACGCATTTTATTATTTACTTCATTTTTAATCTACTGACCGCTACTGAGGTTTCTTCGTAATTTGTTTTATAAGAGACTTAAACTCATAGTTTTTTTTCATTATTAATATAAATTTATATTTATTATAATCGTGTCTGTTGTTTATGTGTTCATATAGATATTTTCATCGTAACGTTTTTGTATATTTATTTATGTCTCAAACTTCATTCACAGGTATCATTCGCGCCCATTTACTTCTACATTTATTTTTCAAAAATGTGACAATATTTTTTTGTTCATTTAATATTTCATATTTTATAATTTTAGTTTCATTTAATATTTTATAATTTTACTTCCATTTAATGTTTAATAATTTTAGTTCCATTTTTTGTTTCGAAGAATTGATTCAAAAAAAAAAAATATCTCTTTTCTTCACTGAATCATAATCTAGACATGTTTTTTTTTAATAATTAGTTTCGATGATTAAACATTTGTATATATTTTATATTTTCGCCTTTATCAATATAGTGTCAACATTAGAGTTAAAATACACTTTTTAGATCAACCAATTTTTGCTATATATCGGGAAAATATTTTTTCAAAACCTGAGAAATTTGTAAATTTTTTTTTAAAAGCGAAATTTTGTTCCTGAGTTTTTTTTATGAATTGTACACCTCTTGGAAAGAAGAAAAAATTTATAGAATATTAATATATATATATGTATTTAGTAAATATACATCGATTATTCTTTTTCGATATAATAATAGTATCGTTAAACCATGAATATTATAGATTAAGGAAAGTCAGGATATTTTTTTTATTTTTTTTTTTGCCAATTTTGGCGTTAACATTAAAGACTCTCGTGAAGTACATAACAACAACCAACAACTAACAATCGTTTTGGGCATTCACACAAAAATAGAAATATTTCTAAATAGTTTTTCTTCTTGCTTACTACTTCTTTCTTCTTTTTTTTTCCTTTTGCTAACTAATTTTACGCATAGTAAACAAATTTTCATATTTACTTTTCTAAATAAATTTCCTTTCAATTTAGACCGATTTTTCTCCTAAATCAAAAAAATTACGTAAAAAATATTAATAAAAAAAGAAGAAAACATTTAAATTTTTTTTTTTTTTTTAAGTGAACGATATTCCAAGTGGGGAACATTTATCTCTTTCACAGTATTCGATTTACTGTTGCGTTTTAATGACGAAAAAAAAACAATTTATGTCTAAATGTATCGCTTTTACATTCATGCATTTAATTTTCATTAATTTCCAGTCATTCTCAAAGTTTTATCATTTTCACGCAGCGTATAGAAGAAAATAAATTAATGTACACTGATTCAGTGTACTTTTAATTAAAATGAAATCGAACAAATTTCACGATTCGCGTCAATTTTTACAAAAATTCAAAAAGTATTAATAGTTCCAAAGGGGAAAACAAAAAATTTTTTCCAAAAATGGAAAAACAGAGTAAAAGTACCTTAAAAAGAATAAAAAATAAATAATTTTTCCAGGGGTAAAATATTATTAATATTCAAATACGAAAAAAAAGGTTTTTGTAAAAATTGAATGCGAATCAAGAATGTCTACGGCTTGGGAATAGAAGCGTAAAAGCAACAAAATCAAGTATATAAAGTAAATTCCTGACGAAAAAGAAAAAAAAATCATGGAAAATTGTCAAAATCGCGTTTTTTGTTTTAAAGGTCGGTGTGTCCCAAAACGCGACACACCCCCTCTTCCTAAGAATCCTCCATCATGCGTGGCGACGATTCAAGCATTTCAGTGAGAAAGGCGTCAATCGGCATGTCTCCAATTAACCTAAAGAAGAACAGATGCTCGAGACACTTGAGGCCAATCGACCTTAACGAGGGAAGACGCAGTAATAATTTTGCAAATCTCCCAGGCTCATCGGGCTTTGTCGTTCTTGTATATTCCTCAAGAGCCGCATATACTTTCTCTCGAAGAAGTTCAACTTCCTGCGCTGATTTTAGCCCTCGTACCTCGGGATTAAAGAGAATTATCGTTCTGAAAATTCAAAAAAGTAATTATGAAAAAAAAATTGTTAATTACCAAACACATTTTGTAGATAAAATGTTTTTCTAATCAAATTATATATATTCGTTTAATCATATAATAAAATGCAATCATTAATAACAAATTATTATAACAAACAATTATTAATAAATAATTGTAATAATAAAATAATAATAAATTGTAACAAATAATAACCGAATTGTAATAACAAAATAATAATGAATTGTAACAAATAATAACCGAATTGTAATAACAAAATAATAATAAATGGTAACAAATAATAATCGAATTATAATAACAAAATTGTAATATCAAGTTTGTTACGTCACCGTAACCTATTTTTAATAATAATATGTAGCATAATTAGATCTAAGCATAATAATTAATAATAATCTGAATAATTAATAATAATAATCATGATAATTAATAATAATAATTAATAATAATAGTAATAATCATAATAAAAGTTAATAACAAAAATTGTTATTTACATATTATTATAAATAATAACTATAAATATTAATAATAATCAATAATAAATTGTAATAATAAATATTAGCAAATAATAACAAAATGTAATAAATAGTTAAATATAACAATTTTAACAACAAACTTTAAGAAATAATAATAAACAATAATAAATTGTAACAAATTATAAACAATTAATAACAAAATTATAAAATAACATGAGTAATAGGGAATGTACACGTGCGATCTAATAGTGAGTCACCATAAGTGTTCCAGTAACAAAGAGGTTTCTAAAATGCATGGAAACTCGTACAATTCGTAAAATACATGAAGCGATGTTCCGTACAAGTCAGTCAGCTGCTTTGACACAGTAAGCAGGGTGCAGTAGGCGACAATTTTTGTTTGGGACTTTGCACAGCAACTAACTAAATGCGCGTGCGCTGACAATTAGACTACTTCCACAATAAGCTCTTTTTGGGTGTTTTCGGGCAAATTCTCGGATTATGCTCCACATTACTTCAGTGGTGTTCACTTTAATTTTTCAACATGATTTCTGTTATTATTTAAATGATATGTTGTCATTGGTTATGTTATGACCATGGTCTAAAATCTGTTGCGATCAGTATTTTCCGAAGAGCTGGTTTTACGTTGCGGCGCGAAATTCAAACAAGGATAACTCATCGAAAAATAAATATTTTTAAAAGGTCGAAATCGAAGATTGTTGAGGAGGAAATGAACTTTCGTACGCATCTCATGAAAATCCTAGAAAAAATTTTTGTACCCTGATAAAAAACCAAAAAGTACCTCAAAAACGGCATTTTTTAAATTTTCAATGTTTTCTTGGAAACCTAGGGTGATGGTACAATTCTGATTACGGATTCGCGTCCAGCATCAAAAAACCTATAAGAATCACTCTATCGGATCTCAGAAATAAAAATGCTGTTGCACTGTGCTATCAATAGAGGAATTAAACTACAATGAAGGACAAGACTTTAAATTAATCTTTTTAGCCTTTACTATTTGAGTAATAATTTTGTTTATGTCGGTCATACTTCATTCTTGAAATCTAATCTCCAATAACGCTGAATGGAATGACGGGTAATACGAAACGAAAGTAAATGAATAGTTTTTTGTAATTAGAAAATAGTCCAGTTTAATTGAAAATAAATCTAATCTGTGTAACTAATGACCTCCGAACTAATCCAAAACGGTACTAAGATTTTTATCCTCCGTAATTAATCCGCTTTGGAATTAATTGTGTGGCTATCTTCCGGTTCAATCTGTCACTTCTAATTTATCTTTTATTACGAATTACAAGAGGTAGAGGCTAGGCAGGATTAGATAAATTCTGTCCATCAAAGGAAGGTTATACTTTTCGAAATATTCCAAAATCGGCTCGGAATCAGTTTGGGGGATTTCTTGAAAAGCGTATCGAGTTATTTTCCATTTATTCAAAAGGAAATTTCATGATATATGTGTAAAGAACAAAAATGCATCAAAGAACAACAAACCTTAGGCATCCAAGTTCCGTTTTGTCCATTTTCATTTCGCGCATCTTCGACACCAATTCGGAGAGGACACGCTCAAAAATGAGTCCAACGCCAGCCTGTTGGGCAGAGTTTCGATAGACAGTGATGCCGGCAGCGAGGACAATTCCATCCTTGACATCAATAGACCGATGTGAAAATGCGGCAATCAACAATTCATTCCAACCGGCTCTGAGCAGTCGAACCTGATCCTCAATTGGCAGTGATGTGAAATGAGGAATGTGTTTTGCCCACTCCACCAACTGATAGAGTTGTTTGTTCGTTGCATTACAAATATTTGAGACCTCATAATTCCCCTGATTCTCAATTTTACACTCGACACGATTCTCAGCGTCGAGAATTCGTTCAACTGGCATATCCGCATGTAAACTACTCGTACTCTCGACTTCATTTTGATCGCGTTCCTTGGTCCTCTGACGTTCCTCCTGGACGGCTTCCCTCTTCATTCCCATTGCCAAGCATTTTTGATAGCGACAATACTGACAACGATTTCTCTGCCTCTTGTCAATAATGCAGGTCTTCTCCTCCCTACAAGCGTAGGACAAGTCCTTGCGAACTGTTCGCTTGAAGAATCCTTTGCATCCCTCGCAACTGAAAACAAAATTTAAATATTATTTTCACTTTTAATTTTATTTTCTGGTATTTTTACTATTGCTAAGGAGCGTTATTATCAAAGGTCGTTAATTTCGGACTAGGACGACGTTCAAAAGCCCCTAGTCCTCTTGTCCCAAAAAGGGAGAAGCATTAGCCAGAAGGGTCTCCATTTCCTAAAAGGACTAAACCCAAAGTTTTATTTTTACAACTTTCTAAATATTTAACAAATTTTCAAATACAAAGTTCTAATGAACAAAATGTGTTTTATCTAAATCCAAATTGCAAAAGTTTTTGAAATTTCCGATTAAAAACATTTATCAAGATAAAAATGAGTAGTATAATACGGGAATGAGACATTTAAGCGTGTCTGGAATAAATTCTCAAAAATTTCCATCGCTGTAAGCGAGAACTGAAAAACCGTCGGGATTTAGTAAAACTCGATATTTATCACGTTCCGCCGTCTCATTTTTCTTAAAGCAACTCCCATAATCCGGAGATCCTCAAAGTTTGGCGCCCACTTTCCGAGGACATTATAATGCAGCAGATTTATTTCAAGGCTCACATAAAATTTTTCGTGTTCAATAATTTTTTGCCCAAAAAATCATATTTTATTTTTTATTTACAATTACTTTTTTTATTTAGGTGCCTTTTTAAATTTACAGTTCGACTCATAAATATTCACCTGACGGATATTAATCATTACTTATAACTTTTAACAAATACTCATATTTATATTTTTTGTTTCTAATAAATTTTTCATTTAACTTTAAATATTAATAACTATTATTTTTTTATTTATTTTATATTATTACAATTGTAATATTATTCAGTTCATTCCGGTTCATTCTAAATTGAGAAACAAAAATATGTTTGTCAAAAAGTGAGGTTAGGAGTGCACAATATTCTATTGCAGTCAAATATAAATATAATTAATAGTAATGACAAACGAGTGATAAAAGTTATTATTATTTTCTCGTATTGTTTATAATAACAAGCAATAATTGTAAACAAATTAGCAAATAAAATGAAAGTAATTAATAAATAAAGGAGCGCATTGTAAACTCAGCCTAAAATACCTTGTATTTTGGGGTTTTCACCTACCCATCCCTGTGCACTGTGAATAATAATAAAAGTGACCCCACCCTTATTCTACTTTCTAATTTTCGGACTTTTTTTGTGAATCCCTGTTTTTCATTCTCTAAAATAAAAATTATAATCTAAATTTAAATATTGTTAAAATATGCAGCAGAAAATAATTAAATTATATTTTATCCCTAGATTCTAAATTGAGGAACGTCCGACTGAATCAAAACAATTAAACAAATTTATTTTTTTATATTTATTTCGTGAATTAAAAATTGAAATCATAATTCTATATTTCTGTTGGATTAAATTATATTATTAATTATTAAAAAAATAATTAAATAAATAAAATAAATAATATAAATAATATAAATTCAATAAAATTTTAAAAAATTAAAGTTTTAATCTAAAAAAAATTGTTTAAATAAAATTAGGTAAAAACTGAAGAGAATAAAAGAAGTGACGAAATTTTACAAACAAAAAAGGTGGAAAAATATGACATTCCATAATCCTTGTATCATTTAAAAAATCTCATCAATTTTTATACGAAAAGAAATATTGTATATTTCCTCCCACATATCATTCTTTTGATCTAAGTCAGTATTTTTATGATCTTAGCCATTTTCTTTGGATTAAAAAGAACTACCATATTTTATTTTCTTTTTCAAAGAAGCAATAAACCTACATTATGAGGTGATAAATTCAAGACAATTTAAAAAGAAAGAAAAACACAACATACAAAAATAAATTTTTTTTAGAAAAAAAAAACCTAAAAATATAAAATTATAAAATTAAAATACACGATATTTTGGATACTTTCCAAAAAGAACATTTAATGAAAGACAACTTTGTCGCTAAATGATTTTAAATATACATTATTGCAGAGTTTAGTTTTTTTAATTTTATGAAAAAAATTCTTTTTTGTTTTTCATTAAAACCAACTGAAAGTAAAGTTTGAAAATGAAATTGAGTTTTATAAAGATTTATATCTCGTCTGGCACGTTTTGCGAACACGTGATCAGCAATTTAGAATTCGAAGAAAACAGGTTCAAAGGCAAAATGAAAAAGCGCGAAAAGATTTGCAATTTATTCTCTAATTATATGTCACGTTGAAGAGACACCTGGAAATTAACGAAAAATTCCATTTAGAAATCTAGTTAACAATTTAAATAACAAAAATTACATTATTTTTCAAATCAAAACAGAAAAGGAGGTTTTTTTTAATAAAAATCGAAAGTTGTGCCAAATGCAATTTTATAATTTCAATTTTACTTCAACTTTTCCTTAGTTGATCCGTGTAAATCAAATTTCGAAGTAAAAATAAAAAAAAATCTATTTTTACAATTTACTTCTAAAATTGCTATATAGACGTAATTTCAAGTGAATATTTAAACCCTTTTAAAAATTTTAATTATTAAACTGTTTTGAACTCTTTTTCACGATTTTCGTCGATTAAATTATAAAAATTTTCACTTTTTTTCTCCCGTAAATTTTCTTCAAGCAGAATATAAATTTATTATGATTTCAGAATGGACAGATATCGGAGAGAAAACTTGTGTTATAAATAAATGCTATCGTTCAAATAGATTAAAGATGTCTAACCTTTCTTTGAATATTTATTACGTTTAAAAATAGTTTAAACAAAGTTGATTTAAAATAAAAAAAAAAAATTCTCATTTCTTTTTTTTTAGAAATTTTTACCAGCAGATAAAATTATTATTAATTATTAAATATATTAATTAATCTCCGTATTCTTTCATTCTGTTTCATTCATTCTGTCCGCTCTCCGTAGTTTAAAGTTAGTTTCTGTGTAGGCTTTTGTTTTTTTTCTAAAAAATATTGTTTGACAGAATTGTGTTATTTAAAAATTTAAACTAAAATTCATTTTCAAATTAATTTTTATTCGAAAATTCTACGAGAATTTCAATAATTTAAATACAAAAGTAAATTATTTATTGAATAATTTTAAAATATTGTTGATTGTAATTAAAATTTATTTTTGTAAAAGAAAAAATATTACGGAATTTGCAAAAAAAAAAAAAATTTCATGTTAATTATACAAAGTAGATCGAGTGTATCAGATTTCAAGTGTTAATATCTTCCAGTTGCAAAAGACATGGCTTGCTGGTTACACACGTGTTTCATGAATGTTCATAAAAAAATATATATAATACATATAAACTCCCTCGTTCTCCTCGTGTGTTGCGGGTTTGTTGCATCAGAGCGACTTTAACCTTGTACTTGCAAAGCAATCTACACATATATACAGACCGCGAGGTTAGGAGACAACTACCCATCCGCAGTTCCTACGAAGCCATGCGAATAAACTTGCTACATGTTTTTGCCTCCTATCAATGTCAACTAATTAAATATTGTGGACCACTGACAGGCCAGTTCCTTATCACTTCCTGAGATTACACTCTATATAAGGCAAGAAAAAAAAAAAACTACTAAAACTTTTAGATCTTAAATTTTCCAAATCTCATATTTTGACTAAATTCTTATTTTTCTTAATTTCAAACAATATTATATTCAAAAATTCAGTTTTTTGAACGATTTAGAAAATTTTGCAAAAATTAAAATTCGTCAACATTTCCATTTTTTTCTGCAAAAAATTCCAAAATCTTAAATTTCGACTAAATTCATGACATTTGTTCATTTTTCAACTAAATTATAAGCAATAATTAGATTTTGAACGATTTTGAAAATTTTAAAAAGTTTAAAAATTGTTTTTTTTTCTATAAGAAATTTCAAAATCGTTAAATTCGTCGATTATTTCGAATTTACTATGGAAAAATTTTTCCAAATCTTTAATTTTGACTAAATTCGCTTCATTTTTTGTTAATTTCGAAATAAAATTTTATGCAAAAATTCAGTTTTTAAACGATTATGAAAGTTTTTCAAAAATTAAAATTCGTCGATTTTTTTGTTTTTTTTTCTACAGAAAATTTCAAAATCTTGATTTTCAACTAAATTCATGAAATTTGTTCATTTTTCAACTAAATTATAAGCAATAATTAGGTTTTGAACAATTTTGAAAATTTTAAAAAGTTTAAAAATTGTTTTTTTTTCTATAAGAAATTTCAAAATCGTTAAATTCGTCGATTATTTCAAAATTTATTATGTAGAAATTTTTCCAAATCTTAAATTTTGACTAAATTCTTATTTTTCTTAATTTCAAAGAAAATTATATTTAAAAAATTCAATTTTTAAACGATTTTGAAAATTTTTCAAAAATTAAAAATCGTCGATTTTCTTGTTTTTTTCTATAGAAAATTTCAAAATCTTGATTTGCGACTAAATACATAATATTTTTTAATTTTCCAACTAAATTATACGCAAAAAATCAGTTTTTGAACGATTTTTAAAATTTTTCAAAATTTTAAAATTGTTTTTTTCGTTTTTTTCTATAAAAAATTTCAAAATCGTGAAATTCGTCGATTTTTTTTTAATTTGACTAAATTCTTAATTTTTTTTCATATTCAAACAAAATTATATGCAATAATTCAGTTTTTTGAACGATTTTGAAAATTTAAAAAAAATTAAAATTCGTCTTTTTTTTATTTTTTTCTTACAAAAAATTTCAAAATCTTTAATTTTGACTAAATTCATGAAATTTGTTCATTTTCCAACTAAATTATATGCAAAAAAAATAAGTTTTTGAACGATTTTGAAAATTTTTCAAAATTTAAAAATCGTTTTCTTCATTTTTGTTTTAAGAAATTTCAAAATCGTTGAATTCGTCCATTTTTTCGAATTTACTATGCAGAAATTTTTCCAAATCTTTAACTTTGACTAAATTCTTAATTTTTTGTTAATTTTAAACAAAATTTTATGCAAAAATTCAGTTTTTAAACAATTTTGAAAATTTTTCAAAAATTAAAATTCGTCGATTTTTTTTTCTACAGAAAATTTCTAAATCTTGATTTTCGACTAAATTCATAATATTTTTTTATTTTCCAACTAAATTATACACAAAAAATAAGTTTTTGAACGATTTTGAAAATTTTTCAAAATTTAAAAATTGTTGTTTTTTTGTTTTTTTCTATAGGAAATTTTAAAATCGTCAAATTCGTCGATTTTTTGAATTCGTTTTGTAGAAATTTTTCCAAATCTTAAATGTTGACTAAATTCTTATTTTTTAAAATTTCAAACAAAATTATAAGCAAAAAATCAGTTTTTGAACGATTTTGAAAATTTTTCAAAATTTAAAAATCGTTTTTTTTATGTTTTGAAGAGAGTTTTATAGAAATTTTCAAAAATAATTAAATACTTTCAAGGATTTGAATTTTAATTCTATTAACAATAATTGAATTCTTATAAAGAATTTTATAAAAAATTTTAAAAATAACTGAAAATTCCTCTAAAAATTTTGATTATTTTTTAAAATAATTGAATTCCTGATAAGAATTTTATTATTTATGAAAATAATTGAATTTTTGCGATAAATTTTAAATACTTGAAAAAAATTGAATTCTTTCGAGAAATTTTCTTATAATTCAATTCCTGCAAAGACTTTTATTATTTTTCAAACTAATTGACTTTTTGCAAAAGTTTTTGATTAAAATTGTAAATTAAAAACAATTTCAATTGTTATGCAGAATTTTATTAAAATTTATTAAAAACTTTAATTCCTTCTAATAATTTCAATATCTAGACTTGACTTACAATCAAATGTAAACAAATAAAAACTTATTAAATTTTACAAAATAATACACTCTATATTATGTTCCCATTAGATTTTAATTATAGAATTTCTTTTCTATAAATAAAAGTTCACTTGAAAAATTCTTTCTACCCGATAGTCTTCCAATGAAACAGTTTAAAATAGAAATCCCCTTATTTATATGAATAAAACATTTTTTTTGAAAATTGTTACTTTATTACTCAATAAGATTAATGATTTAATGAAAGTATTTCTTCCTCATTAAGTATAAAAATTAACCTGTGTGTCAAAAAACAAAAAAATTGTTAACCAAATTAAAAAAAAAATTTTGTTTATTATTTTCCTTTAAAAATGGAAAGTTGAGGCAATATTTTATAAATAAAATATTGCTTCACAAGTGTCAATGACTGATACGAATAAATGCAAGTGACGTTGACACTGACCTTGAAAAGAATCGCTTTAACCGACGCGATATGCATTCAATTTCCTCGATGTATTTTTTTTCTGTCTTGTTTATAATGCAAATCAAATCAGAATAACGTAATTCCATTTATCTACTTATATGAATTTATGGATATTTGGAATAAATTTTTTTTTAAGAAAAAAAGTAAAAAATGATTCAATTCGATAAAAGGTGAATTATAGTTTTTTTGTTGGTAAACAGGGCCAATTTTTCCAAGTTCCTAGGGGTAAAAACAGCTATTTTACTCCCTATGATAAAAAATAGGATTTTACCACTTAAAAAATATTCCCTAGGGGTAAAAACAACTATTTTACTCCCTATGGTCGAAAAGAAGCATTCTACCACTTAAAAAATATTCCCTAGGGCTAAAAACATCTATTTTACTCCCTAGAGTTAAAAAGAACTATTTTACCCCCTTTTTCCAAATTTACCAATAAAAAATTTTTTTTAAATCTTTCTGTTTTTGCTAAAAAAAAAATTTTCTCTGAATAAAAAATATTTTTTTGTTTGAAATCCAATGGAATGGTGCTTACCTATAGACGCCATAATGTTTCCCGCTGGCACGATCGCCACATATGGAACAAAGGTGTTTACTTCCAGAAAGTGGATGATTTGGTGGATAAGGAGAACCTGCGCCTTTACTTTGTCCACTGGGTGAGGTACTCAGGACACTGCTATGGCAACCCACACTGAACGATCTGAAAATAAAAAAAAACTTACCATTTCCCCTTTTTTCCCCTTTTTTATTTCCTTAAATTAATAAAATTCCCTAAAATAAATAATAAAACCTAAATTTTATTATTAGTTAGAAACAATAAAAATTTTTTTTAATACAACGTGCCGAAACACTTTCTAAAATTGTTTTCCCACTTATCTAACACTTTCAATTTAATTGCAAAAAACATTTCTTCGTCATTTCTCACTGTCATTCTGAATTTTTTTTTTTTTCATTCGTAACTTAAAAAAAAATTGTTCGATGATTAAAAATCCATTTTCATCAATTTTATCAATCGCTCTAATTTTTCTATAACGATTTTTCCATTTATACTTGTGAATTATTATCATTCGGAGAATTTTCAATTGCTCTAATTTCTGTTCGTTCAAATTATCACTTAACCCATTCAGTTCATTTGGCAGCATTTCGAATTTTACGTTTCAAGTGGACATCGCTTCAAGAAATTTGCTGATTTTACATTTTTGTACTAAAAAAAAAATAAATAAATAGAATATATTTCAAAAATATTTATAAAAAAAATGTTGTGTCCAAAATTTTAGTAAATTTTAATACTAACACATTTTGACGCTTGCGATAGTCTTTGAGGTATTTTGTGACCTAATGTCTTTGCAATTTTCTTCCCTAGGGCTAAAAACAGCCATTTTACTCCCTATGGTCAAAAAGAAGCATTTTACCACTTAAAAAATATTCCCTAGGGCTAAAAACAGCTATTTTACTCCCTGTGGTCAAAAAGAAGCATTTTACTACTTAAAAATATTCCCTAGGGCTAAAAACAGCTATTTTACTCCCTGTGGTCAAAAAGAAGCATTTTACTACTTAAAAAATATTCCCTAGGGCTAAAAACAGCTATTTTAGTCCCTAGAGTCATAAAAAACCATTTTACCCCCTCGAGCTGTAAAGTTACTTTAAGTTTTTAAAATTATTACTCTAGCCAAAAATAATAATAATAAAATTAACTTATAATAATAAATTTTATAAAATTAAATAATAAATTAATAATAAACTTACCCTGGACTATTGGGACCAGAGGGGCTAAAGTTGCCGGCATTCATTAGACTCGCTGTGTCTGGTTTCATGTCCAGCGGACTTTGTGGACCCATTGAGGACATCGACATATTACTGTTATCCAGACTCAACCCTGAAACATTAAAAAAATAACATTAACAGGAGAAATTTAATTATAAACTTTAAACTTAACGTCAAACTTTAAGCCATGAAAAAATATTCTTAAAATTTAGGTAAAAATAGAAATTAAAATCGAGACCAACATAACCTTAAAATTTAGGTACAGAAAATTTACCTTTCTTCAAGATATACTTTCTTTACGTGTAAATAACTTTCAAATTCAAATATAAAAAAATGGTAAACATAACCTCAAAAATCAGGTCAAAATGGTGTACATAACCTCAAAATTTTTAGGTTTTTAACAATATGGGTAAAAAAAGCGATCATAACCTCAACATTTTTAGGTTTTTAACAATATGGGTCAAAATAGCGAACATAACCTCAATATTTTTAGGCTATTAACAATAAAGGTAAAAATGTCGAAACATAACCTTGAAAATAAGGTTAAAATGAAAAAATAACCTAAATTTTTAGTTAAAATATAATATAATTTGAAAATATTTAAACTTATTTATTTAAATTTAAAAATACAGTTTTTTTTGACATGAAGATAAATGACAATTCAATCGATTTGAAAGAGAAAAAAGGAGTGGAATAACGACGAGAAGTCGTGTGGGGGACAAGAGAACACACATTGGGACGATTCATGTTGTGGAGGACGCGTCAAATGCATCGGTAATAATTGTGCTAACTGACGTCATTTTCTACTCCATTGCCGAGATGCATATATAATACGCTAATAAATGCACAGCAGACGAATAAATTGGGATTTATCACCAGTTAAATCATCTAATCCATTCGTTCTTTTTAATCTACAACTTAATTCCTTATTTATTGTTATGAAAATAAATATTTTTTGTTTTTTATTAATAAAGAAATTTTACCTGGTACACATTTTATCTACATAGACATAAATTCTGTCAGTTTTCTCGTAAATTAAAATTTATTTTTGCAAAATTTTTGCTTCTGCAACTGTTTTAGGATGTAAATTAAGTGCCTGTGGTAATTTTTTAAATTTTAATTCAAAATTTTTTGGTAGAATTTGACATTACCGACGTTTTTGTAAAATTAAAAAAATAGACAAAATACAGTCAATTTTCTCTGAAATTAAAAATTATTTTTGTTATCTTTTTGGAACTACAACTTTTTCATGATGTAAATTAAGTGCCTGTGGGGCGTTTTTCAATTTTAATTCCAAATTTTTCGGAAGAATTTGGCATTACCGACGTTTATGTAAATTTGACAAAAATAGACATAAATTCTGTCAATTTTCTTCAAAATAAAAAATAACTTTTGAAATATTTTTGGTTCTGCAATTTCTTCACGATGTAAATGAAGTGCCTCTGGTGCTTTCTTCCAATTTTAATTCAAAATTTTTCCCTAGAATTTGATATTACCGACGTTTTTGAAAAATTTAGTGGGAAAAAATAAAAATTCTTCACTTGATGTCAACAAATCTAAATAAAAAGAAATTAAAAAGTATGGAACATTGATTTTTTTTTAATTCGCATCTGAGTTTAAATCTCCAAATGGTACATATATATTTTCATTAAGTAACCTTGATTCTGATATTGAAAGTCTGGTCTGGATCAATAAAACTATGTTCAGTTACAGAGCGCATGTAAAAGCGAGAGTCAAACTTTTCTTTTCTTGAAATTGACATCGTGACCGTGAAACTTAAATATAGAACTATGTTTTTAAAATAGAAACAAAAGTCTTCGGATTTCGCTAAAAAAAATACATAGTTTAGTATAAAAATAAATTTTTTTTAAATATTCCGTTTGTATCATCACTAAGTTTGAATTTAATTTTTTGAAATTCATTTTTAAATTTTGACATTAATTCTTGTTAAATCGTTACTCTGTAAATACAAAGTAACAATTTTTTTTAATTAATTATTTATTTAAAGAAGAATTTTTTCAAAAAGATGACAATATTCAAACTTACTTTTCGATTCGTTCCAATTTCATAAAAATTTAGTTTTGATTTCCTAAAATTAAATAAGTGAATTGCAAAAATGAAACCAAATTATTAAATAATTAACTGAATGCTGATATGGATCCTGTTTTCGACTCTAATTAATTAATTAATTATTTTTAAAAATTTAATGAAGAAAAATATTATTTTCTACGCGTGAATGCAACTGAAGAAAGACGCTGACGAAAAAAAAAATTTCTGCGACTGCAAAAACAGAAATTTGAGAGGCAACGTACGGAGTAAGTCAACAGTGTGAGAAGAAGGAGGACGTAAAATATTTATCAAGGCCAAAAACCAATTCCTCTATTCTTCGAGGGGTCACCTTGACCAAGCGCAAACACACAAATGCGTCGTAGTTGTCGTTGTCAGTGCAATGATCCGACTCATGTTACGATATCGATGGTCCTCACATCGCACTACTTTCATTCGTCCCCAAAGACGACCGACCTACGCCAACGACACTTTCATTGCGCTTCGTTCTTTTATAAACCACTTTTTTTTCTCCTTATCTCCCTATAATAAACGTGCCAATCAAAATTCAAAATTTAACCCAATTTCAAAAGATCTAAAAGAAAAATAAATTTTTTATACCCACACAAAATTGTTAGACTAAACAGTCAATTATTTTAACGTTTTTCGTCGATTTTAGGAACGTTCCTGACGAATCTAAGTCGGTTTTTAAAAATCCAAAATGGCGGATCCAATATGGCGGACGTCCGCCATATTGGATCCGCCATTTTGGATTTTTAAAAACCGACTTAGATTCTTTATCAATTAAAAGTGAATGTCGCCTGCTGTGTAAAATAACCAAAAATTAACCCATTTCACCCAGTAACCTACTGACATAAATTTTATTCAGAAACAAAAAAAATTGAGAAAAATATCATCCGAGAATTTATGGTTTAAAATTGCGTTCGTTTGCAGTGGCCACATTGCCTCTCGGGTAAAACCAAAAATATATAAAACATACGTACACAAAACAAAATACCTGTGTGTTGTGTATATAAGCGCGAAAACTGGTTTATTGTTTCGGGACAGTGTTTAAATCGCCAGACAATGACGTCATTCTCGCCATAAAAGCAAGCCTCGTAAACGATAATCGTTGGAAAAAAAAAGTTCAGCACACTTACTTATTGGTCTTTTGCTCAAAATCCCTGCTCTCAAAGACTTTGACCATCATTATCATCATCATCATCATCATTATCATTAACATCACTTCTATATACGTATATATAAAAAAAAACCTTTCTTTTTAAAACAGCAATTTTGCAGTCGTCCTTCCGTGAAGGAACGGCAAAACTCTTTCGAAGTCAAAATATGTATATAAAATAATGATAGTCCTCGTATGTTGCAGAGAAGCCGTAAACTTTGCAAGGACACGATCGTTAATGCTTTCCAAACTATTTATTAAAGGAGGGGAATTTTTTTCTCTTTCCATTTCTTCTTCTTCTTTTTTTTGGGGGAACAATTTTCACGCACATGGTTATAAAATACAACGGGGTTTTATCCATGGAACCTTGAGAGTGAAAAAAGTTGCCCCATTTCGTCATGATGAAAGGAAAGTCGATTTGTACCTTTAGGGATAGAGTATAATATTTGACAAGAATGCTTCGATAATTGATCAAATTTAAATAATTTTCTGTTAAAGTGCATCTATTTAGCTTTCAAAATTCATAGGAATTCTGTAAATTGATCAATTTCTGGAAAAATGACATTTTTATAAGAAATGTCAATTTTGAGAAATTTTTGTTTCATACTCATCTGTTCAGATAATTGTATCTTGTGCAATAAATCAAATTTGAATAATTTTCTCTTAAAGTACATCTATTCAGCTTTCAAAATTCACAGGAATTCTGTAAATTGATCAATTTTTGGAAAAACTACATTTTTTATTAAAAATGCTAATTTCGAGATTTTTTTGTTTCATTTTCATCTTGATCAAATAATTATATCTATTGAAATAAATCGAATTTGAATAATTTTCTCTTAAAGTGCATCTGTTTAGATTTCAAAATTCATCCGAATTCTGTAAGTCCATCAATTTCTGGGACAATTACAACATTTTAAAAAAATGCCAGTTTTGAAAAAATTTTGTTTCATTTTTATCTTTTGAAATAATTATATCCTCTTATATTAAATCAAATTTAACTAATTTTATCTTAAACTGCATCCATTTAGCTTTTAAAATTCACCAAATTTCTGTAAATTGATCGATTTTTGGAAAAACTACAACGTTTTAAAAAAAAGTCAGTTTTGAAAAAATTTTGTTTCATCTTTATGTTTTGAAATAATTATATCCTCTTATATTAAATCAAAATTAAGTAATTTTCTCTTAAAGTGCATCTATTTAGCTTTCAAAATTCACCGGAATTCAGTAAATTGATCAATTTTTTGGAAAACTACATCGCTTTATAAAAAATATGAATTTTGTGAAATTCTTGTTTCATTTTCATTTATTCATATTATCTCATTTTTTGTAATAAATTGAATTTAAATAATTTTCTCTTGAAGTGCATCTATTTAGCTTTCAAAATTAATTGAAATTCTGTAAATTAATCAATTTCTGAAAAAACTACAACATTTTTAAAAAATGTCAATTTTGAAAAATTTTTGTTTTATTTCCATCTTTTGAAATAACGCTACATTCTTATATTAAATTAAATTTAAGTAATTTTATCTGAAAGTGCATCTACTTAGCTATGAAAATTCACCGGAATTCTGATAATTGATCAATTTTTTGAAAAACTACAACATTTTAAAAAAAAGTCAATTTTGTGAAATTTTTGTTTCATTATTATTAATTCATATTATTATATCTTCTTATATTAAATCAAATTTAAGTAATTTTCGCTTAAAGAGCATCAACTTAGCTTTCATAATTCACCAAAATTCAGTAAATTGATCAATTTTTCAAAAAACTACGTTATTTTATAAAAAATATCAATTTTGTGAAATTTTTGTTTCATTTTCAACTGTTCAAATATATGTATCTTTTGCAATAAATTAAATTTAAATAATTTTATCTTAAAGTGCATC